ATTGTGAGAAAACAATATTAAGATCCCCCTTTATAATTGTGGTAGTGTTTATTTGATTTTTCATGTCCATTAATATTTGTTTTACAAGTGATTGCCTTTGTATTTGATGCATATATACTTAAGACTATTATCTCTTTTTCTTGGAGTTTTCCCTTAGCAAGTATGTAGTGTCCTTCTTTATCTCTTTTGATCAGTCTTGACTTGACATTCACATTGTCCATGAATAGAATAGCAGTCCCTGATTTTTTCCAGGTTCCTATTACATGAAGTATTGTTCCAGTATTGACTTTTCAGTCTGTGAATTTCTTTTTTAGTTAAATGTGTTTCTTGAATGTAGCATATTGTAGGGCGTTGTTTCTTTATCCATTTTACCAGTCTCTTCCTTTTGATTGGTGAATTGAAACTATTTACATTGATGGTTTGAACTGATATGTAGTGACTTGTGTTTGTCATATAATTTTCCTGTTGATGATTCCCTTTCTTTCCCCTTTGTTTAGTTGCTTGCCTGCCCTGCCTGGTGGCTGCTTTATGTTGATATTCCTTGGACTTGTGGGGTTTTTTTCACTTTCTAAAATATCTTTTAGAACTCTTTGTGGAGGTGAGTTGGTTGTCATGAATTTCTTTAGTTTTTTTTCATGGAAATATTGTATTTACCCATTAATTCTGATAGATAATTTTATAGGGTACATCAATTTGGCTTGGAAGTATTTTTCTTTTACAGCTTGAAGTACTTCACTCCAAGCTCTTCTTGATTCAAGTTTTGTGTTAAGAAGTCTGCTTTTACTATTCTGTTTTTGTGCTGAATTTCCGGAATCTTGATTATTACATGCCTTGCTATAACTTTCTTTTGGTCGTGACTAATTGGAATTCTGTATGTCAAATTCTTTTTCCATGCTTGGGAAGTTTTCAGCTATTCAGCTGAACTTGTGTTTATGGCATTTGTGCCACTCCTGCATCTTCAATGACTCCAATCAGTCTTATGTTCTTCTTTGCATTGTCTTGCAGTTGTTGGACTGTTTTTTCATAGTCCTTGCTATTTTCAAGAAATCTTTCTTTTCATTATCACTAACCCTGGTACTGTCTTCCAAGTATTCTATCATCACATTCCTTCATGTGGTTTTACAAAATTTTGGTGGAATTTATAATTTCCTGGATATCTATATGAACATGTTTTGTGGATTCCATTTCTTTTGTATGTTGAGCATTCATTTTTTTCTGTGCTTCTCTATTTTTTTCCAATGTCTACTATAGATTTGCTAAGCAAGTCTTTCATTATGGTCATCATCTCTTTTTTTAACCTCTGAGATTATTTCTGATTTGATACCCTCAGTAGCCTCACGTATATGCTTTTAAAATTTTTTCTACTGTCATTCCAGTGAATTCGAGTGGATGGGTTCTATTTTCTTTTATATCATTGTCCCCTGCTTTTGTCTATGGTGGGCTGGAAGTGTCAGATTGCACTTTCTTCTATGTCTCATCATTTTTTATATTTTTCTTATGTTAGCTATCTTTATCACTGATATTAAAGCTTCCCTAGGAGATGCCTATTTCTCCTACATGTCTTCTAGGCATAACTGGCTGTTAATCTTTGTGTCAGCCCCAGGATCCTATTTTCCCACTTTATTAGAGATGATGCATTGCTGTCTCTTTGGCATAGCACCCACTCCTTTGGTTCCAGGCTGTGGGGATGGTTGTGACCCCAGATTATCACAGTATTATTTTACAGTGATAAACAACTGATTGCAACAAATATGGCATCTTCACTAAAGTAGTACCATTAGTAATAACAATATCATCAAGCATAGTCTAGAAACTAATAATCTGTGGTGATTTGGTATCTACAGTTATATAACAGCCTCCAACAGCAAGCTCTGTAGTTATAAAGCAACCTCTAGACATAGACCAGGAAATTGTATGTAGTGGGTTTTCTCTTGGTCGGATGATTTTATCCTGTGGGAAAGGAGAGTGTCAGAGGGATACAGGACAAAAACAGAGCAATAGCTGTAGAGAAATATAGTAGAAGCAAAGCTGAAGGACTAAGGTTGATTATTCAAATTTTTTGAAGCTAGGGAAGAGGACAGGAGAGAAAGAATAAAGGAGAAAGATTTTTAAAATAAAAACAGAAAAATTTTCTCTGGTGCCCCCAGTTTGGTGTCAGTTCTCCAGTCAAACCTGGAATCTGTATTGAGTAATTCCACCAAGTCTGAAGAAGGATTACTGCTGAGAATGTGGCTGATCTTGGCCATACTGCTAACTTACATGAGTTGATCGTAAGGCCAGGGAAATGCCCTTGTCTGTAACTAACCAGGGCTGTTTTCCTGGTCACCAGGCAGGCGGTGGTACCCTTGTGGAGCCCAGGCTGCTTGCCTTGAACGTATTTAAGACAGTTCTTTTAAACTATTTAATAAGTTGATATCTGGACTTCCACAAAAATGATGATTTATTTTGTTTCTTTGAGTGGGCTATATTTTTCTGTTTCGTGGTTTTTTATTTTATTTTCTTTTTGTTATTGTTGAAAACTGGGCATTGAAAGAATAGCCACATCTTCTAGTCTTTCCAGACTGGCTCTGTGCTCAGACTATCTTTCATAGATTAGCTGGACTTCTCTGAGCCTAGCAATCCATCTGAAATAAAAGATCTCAAGTCTTTTCTGAGTGTGCATCTTGCCCAAGTTATATACATACACAGCTGCTTTTGAATGTTTTAATTTCTCAGAGAATCTCATTCAGTTTTCTATAGTATGTAAGGTGCCTGCTTTCATAATCTCGGGCTTCTGTGGATTTATGGTCTACCTGAAAGTCTCATGAGCTCTCCTTGTCACTTTTCCTATGTGACATTCAAATTAGGCAAAACAATCTCATTAACTTGCCATTGGATAGGTTAGACAATAAATGAGGTTTGTTAATGTCTCTTGGTATACCTGAGATCTTGATGAGTCCTTCTAAGAACCATTTTCATCAGGGAAAAGTTATTAACTTCTATGTTATGTGGAGACTTAAGAGGAATTTGTATTTACTCTGACAGGAGGCAGTCTAGTGTATTAAAGCAAGGATAGGGACTTTTCACCTTGTGCTCAGAACAAATGAAAATTAGTATGGCTTATTGTTATAAATATAATTAACTTCTCTAAGTCTCTCCTGTGAAATGGATGCCATAAATGTTAGGAGTTAGGAGTCAGCAAAATGATTTTCCTAAAAAATAACTTATCAAATGCCCTGTGATATACATAATCTTATGTAAATACTTAATATGTCTAAAGTTTATCTGTAGAGTAGCCATATGGACTTATAACCCTCTTTGTTGAGGCATAATGAATGCACATTATTTTCAGAGTAGCCACCAAGAGCTTTTGAATATTTTTACTTGATATTTTTAATTCTGTGGCCTAAGTAGGGATTTTTTGCTCTCCAGTTACAAAGATTAAAATGATATTATTCTATTCTAGCTAGCAAGAAAGTGGCAAGTCAGGTATTCACACACTGTTAATTGACATTTTTGTAGCCTTTTCAGAAAGCAAAATGGCCCTGTGTGCCAGTAACCCTAAAAATGTTTATGTCCTTTTACCCAGGTGGGCTGTTGTAAGAAATCTAAGGAACCCATCAGTGATTCAGGAAAAGATTCAACTATTATCTATTTATTCATTCATTTAAAACATATTTAATTCTTGCTATGTGTATGGTGTTAATTGTAGGCTGATTAAGACTAGCTTCTCTCTTTTAAGTGAAATACTGAAGATACTGTGAATGTGCAATAGTAAAAAAAGTGGTCAAATAAGTCTTACTCATCCATAAAGTGAAATATTATGAATGTTCTAAGTAACTCAGCAGTTTGGACATCCTGAGATGTAGAGAACATGCCTTTACTGCTCTAGGATATTCCTGTATCAACTTGAGAAGTTTAGAAGTGTGACTCAGCAGGACCCTCACTTTGTAAACATCCTGAGCCTGTGCAAGAGGACAGAACAGGCATGGTATGAGTGCTCCACCCACCCAGGGATGTTGTGAGTGCTAAACCCATCCAGGGATGGTGTCAGGGCTAAACTTACCCAGGGGTGGGGAGCCTGCTTACAACAGAAGGGAGGAAGAAGCTTGCTTCTCCCTCTTTTTTGCTTTTGTTGTTTTTGCTCTCTTCTGCTAGCTTAAAGTGTTGTTTCTGTGCTATGCTACCCTGCCTTGGAATCAGCTGATTATGGACTGAAAAGTCCACAAACTGTGAGCTAAATAAACCTTTCCTTCCTTAATTTTGGGTATCCTTTATTTTGTCCCAGCAACAAGAGAAAAGTAAGCAAGACTGCTACTTTCATAACCATAAAAGTATGTATTTTCAAGGAGAGAGTTTTGGGGCTAGAACATTTGCAGTGTGCAAGGAAAATGAGACATGCTTTCAAAGTGAATATACTCACATCCTGGGAGTCAGTTAAGAGGCTCAGTGGAAAGGAGAGTGGATAAAGGGAACAACCCATTTTGTTGTCTGACTTTTCCTCTCTCTTTAAAGCCTGTGTTTGTTTATAATTGTATTAATATTGTTGTTGTATATTAGTCATTTTTTATGACCCTTCTGCTTGGCATGATGATCCATCAGCCAGGCATGATGGTGCATGCCTCTCATCCCAACACTTGGGCAGCAAAGGCAGGAGGATCACTGTGAGTTTGATGCCAGCTTGGGCTGCACAATGAATTCAAAGTTAGCTCGCACTACATAGTGAGACTTTGTCTCAAAAAAAAAAAAAAAAAAAAAAGATATCCATTAGTACAAGACTGATTTGCTGAAAACTCACAGGGATAATTAATTGTCTTTTCACCAGAATTCCTTTGTTTAGAAATAACTAAGAATAGGACGTAGCATTCTTTTCTTATTACATTGCTAATGCCGTCTGCACATAGCAGGCAACAAAATATAAACTATCATTTCCTTTCTAGGCTTATGATTTTAGGTGGATGTTATTAGTGGCTTCTGGTCATTTTTGCAAATATGAGAATTATGTTATTTTTTATTTTCAGTGAAATCTATACCACCTGAGATTTTAAGTGTGAAACCAATTTTGGGTGTCAAAAAAATGCTTGAAATAAAGTGGAAACCCAATTCATCATCTAAATATATACTTCGATTCAAGACAATCAATTGTACCCATTGGGTAAGTTATGCCATTATAATATTTCTAACAGTGGATCCTAGAAAGAGATTCATCGGCAACTTTTGTTGAATTGGAGTTACCTATTTTACTTTCTACATTGAGAATAGAAGAAAACAGTAGTGAGTATTTCAAAGTTTCCTACTTGTACCCCTCAGACTGGAAAAGTATTCTACCATAGCCATTTTACATTCTGAGCACAGTGACATATTAACTAATGAGAAATTTGTGTTTGCATCCTACCCTAGTTTGTGTTTAGTTATGTTAGCTTCCAGGGATTTTATGGTTTGGCCAATTCCTTTGTAAAAAATTTCCTCCATCTTTTATAAAATTGCAAAGTGTGACACACATTTAGAAAACTAAATAAAACACACATTGCCTTTGAAAAATTATTAAGTACTCATGTATAAACCAGCAGAGTTAAAAATACAACATTCCTAGTGTGCCTGAGCCCTTTGCCACCCTTTCTTGATGTCTCTTCCCTTTAGAGTTTCATGGTAATCATTTCTTTGCTTTTACTATGTTTTTACCTTTCAAGTTAAAGGAAATGTACATGTAATTTAAGAAATTATGCTGTCATTCCTTGATTTTCTAGGATGGAGTGGCCGGAACTATATGAAGAATATATAAGTGGAATCCACAATTCTATATTTCTTATGTTTGCTTTATTCTTTTAATATTGTACTTCTAAAATTCTTTCATGCTAAAATAGAAGAGAGACTCATAGATAAGGGGAGGGGACAAGGAGAGACGAGGACAAGGGAAGATAATGGGAATGGATGTGGTACACATGCAGTATATGCATGTATGAAAATGTCACCATGTAACACAATGTTTTGTATAGTTAATGTACATTAGTAAAAAAATATTTCATAATTTATACAGTTTTCATTGTTCTGTAATATTCTGTGGTCTGAACACAGTGGAATCATGGCTTTAATTTGCATTTACCTGACTTAATGAGATGACAGACCTTTTCGTTTAGGTTAAGCTTTTCTTAACCTCAGAGTCCAAAAGATAGTTTCCTTTTTCTGTGTGGCCTGAAATTATATCATAATTCTTGTAATTGCAAACCAATTCAATCTTTAAAGCATTTTCCACTTGAAAGACTTGCTAGAAAAGCACATTTTTTTTTTTTAAACTGGGAATTGAACTCAGGACCTTGAGCTTGCCAGGCAGGCACTTATGCCACTGTGCTGTATTCCCAGCCTGCACATCTTTACTGTTTTAAAATGTATTGACTTTTAACCTAAATTGAAGTATTTTATTCATAGTTAATATCTTCATGTTGGTCTTATCCATTGTCTTAGCTACTTAGAATCTTTGTTCTGATATGCAAAATATAGTTAACATTTTACATTCTAACTTGTTAACGGCTTCAAATTTCATAACTCTAGTCATTAATAAAAGATGTAACTACATCAGAGCTCTGTGGTAGATCAAGGACCATCAGCAACATCAACCTCCCCTTCTTTTGTTTTTTGTTTGTTTTTCTGATTTTTTAAAAAGAGGATCTCACCTATATATTACAGACTGGCCTTGAATTCACTGTGTAGCATTGATTGACAGCCTCCCAAGAGCTGGGATTACAGGTGTGTAGACCACACTCAACTCAACCTCCTCTTTGTGATTCTCTATCCAGGCTTCTTTGAATATACCTACTTACCATGCTACTCATTTAGCCTGCCTTTTTCTTCTTGTCTGGGAGGCTATCACAAGATTCTTATTCTTGTGGAAATCCGTGGACATTATATATATTGTGTCTGCTCATAGTGTAGCACTCTTTCTGAAAGGAAAATTTAGTTAAGTTTCATTCGTCCTGTGTTAAGAAAGATGATGTTGGCCTCCTCTGCTCCCAGCTTCCTTTCTAAGCCAGCTCTGAAACTGTTCTTCCAGAACCTGACACCAAAACATTTAACACAGTAATTCGTAGTTTGGGAAACCCAGCACCATCCACAGCATAGCACAAGCTCATTGTCTTTCCTACCACAAGTTATAGTCCAGACTAGTTTGAGATTGCTCTAGGCTTTGCCCCAAACTTCTGACTCATCTCTTAAAACAAATACTTGTGATGAGTTAGGATTTGCCACAGAGCATAGATTGTTAGAAACAAGCCTGATGGAGCTACTTAGTGTTTTGGTAGTATTCCTGAGCCTCTGTTGAAATCAGGGAATATTTTTTAAAGTGCTTATTAGTTATACAGACCACTGGGTTGCATTCTGACTTTATAGATATATATGACATTCTTTTTAAAATTTTTTTATTTTGAAAAGAATAAAACCAAGTGAAACAAAACAGAATAGAGTCAATCAAAACAAAAGGATGAGCATGGTACGTGACTTAAAAAAAATACAAGGAGATCTACAATGGCCTCTTGTTGTCTTCAAAAGAATTGCCCATACCATCAGGCATAATAAAATCAAACCAAATAGTACAGAATAAAACCAATAAAAACAAAACAATGGAAACAGCATAGGACTTCAAAGAAAGATAAAGTAGAACCACAATGGGTATTATAATGCATCTTATTGTCTTCAAAGTAGTTGCCTATTGATCATCGGACATGATGCAATCAAACAAAACACAATAGAATAAAATCAGTCAAACCAAAACAATGAAAGCAATACAGGGCTTCAAATCAAGCTAATAGGAAATCAAAAATGGTTACCATAATATGTTTTGCTATCTTTGAGATAGCTGTCCATGTCATCAAATATAATATGATTAGACAAACTGAAACAAAGTAAAACCAAATTAAACAGAACAATGAAAACAATATGGGTTTCAAATCACGATAACAGATTAACAGTGGCCACTGTCTTCCCTTATTAGAGAATTCTTCCCCTTTCACTTTCACAAGATGTGTTGTACATTTTGTATCCCACTAACTCCTTTAGTTTTTATACTGGGCAGGCAACTCGCTATTCACCTATGTGACTCTGAACCTTTTTACCCCGGAGCATGATCTAAAGTTGTATCCAAGAGCTTCAAGGTTACCTTTCTTTATAGCTGAGTTGTTTTCTATTGTATAAGAGTATCATGGCTTTCTAACCAGTCTGCAGTGAATGGGCAAGCTAGCCTCACTTTTTTCTGACTCCCTGTCACATAGAGTATTTTTTCTCACCTTCGACTTTCAGTCTATAAACCCCTTTTGGGTTAAATGTGTTTCTTGTATAAAGCATATTGATGGACCCTGTCTCCTGATCTACTCTGCCTGTATTTCTTTTTATTGGTGAATTGAGGCCATCTATATTAGTGATTTTTGCCAACCTTCTCTGCCATGCTCTACCCTTGGTTGCCTACTTTTCCCCTTCATTCCATTGTCTGCCCTGCTCAGTGAGCCCCCTCTGCCACTGTTCCTGAAACCATGGTCTTTTTTTTCTCTCTCTAGAATGTCCTTCAGTATTTTTTGTAGGGTTGTCTTGGGGATCATGAACTCCCCCAGTTCCTCTTTGCCATGGAAGGATCTTATTTCTCCATTAATTTTGAAAGATAGTTTTGCAGAGTACATCAATCTGGATTGGAGGTTATTTTCTTTCAGTGCTTGGAATACTTCACTCCAAGCTTTTCTTGATTTGATGATTTGTGTTGAGAAATCTGTCATGAGTCTGAGGGGTTTTCCTTTATAAGTGATCTGTTTCTTGTATTGAATTTCTAGGATCTTGATTATTATATGTCTGGGTGTAGATTTATTTTGGTTATGGCTGGCTGGAGTTCTGTATGCCTCACTTTTCTGAATATCATTTCCTTTTCCTATGCTTGGGAAGTTTTCTGTAATTATTTCTGTAAATAGCCTTTGTATTGCATTTGTGGTGACCCCTGCTTTTTCACTCACATGTATTATTCTTAAATTATGCTTCTTCATGTCATCTTGTAGCCTTTGAATTGTTACTTCCTGATTCCTTGTTATTTTTAAGAAATCTTTCCTTTTACGATTGCAAGCTGCAAACTTATCTTCAAATTTGAAAGTTTATCTTTAGTTTCTTTCAAGCAGTTTTGCCAGCTTTCAATGGAGTTTTTAATTTCCTAGTAACCTATCTGAATCTGTTTTATGTATCCTAAGTCTTTTTTATATTCTTCATTCAAGATTTCCCTCATTTTCCTATGCTCCTCTATTCTTCCATCTTTGTCTTCATTGGAGGTGCTTAGCAATTGTTTTATTATATTTTTCATTTCTTCTTTTACCTGAGATAGTATTTCTGTTCTAATTTCTTTTATAGCCTCATGAAGTTGTTTCTTTACTTCAGTTGCCATTGCTTAATAAACTTCAGGTGTGCGATTCCTGATCTCTTCTGTGTTTACATCTCCTGGACCAGAACTGCTTGGACTGGAGGCCTGTTGCTTTTTCCTTTTGTCATATACCTGGTTTTTTACAGACAAGTGGGTAGTGGGGTCCCCAGCACTTCCTGTGTTGGCTACAATTTCTCTAAAGCAAGACTGTTTGCTTTTTCTAGTCCATGCTGGCTAGGGATATCTGATGGTGACCATTGGCTGCACTGGTGTAGGGCTATCTGCTGCTTTTCTCATCCTGCTTTGGCTTGCCCATGGCTGGTAGAGTGCAAGCAGGGGCAGAGCAGGCTGCCACCTCCCTCTTGAGCTGGTTAACAGCAGGGAGCCTCCAACACATAGAGTACAGACAGTGGGCAGAACTGGTTGGAATAAATTTAGGGAAACCTCAGTGATGGCTGTTGGAATGCACACAGACACAGGATTCAGTCCAAGCAATTTTCACCAGTCTGCCTCGAGCTAAGAGTGGCTGAAGAAAGTTGGCTGCAATTCTGGTTTTGGGCTTATTCTGTCTGACTCCAAAATGGCTCCCGGCCAATCACCTTCTCCTGCAGGAGGACTGAGTTCTGTACACTCACCACCAGCCAGTGCAGTTGTCCATGTCCACTGCTCCCCTCCACCACTGCATCTCTTTGCAGAGGCGTTTGGGCTTACCATCACTGTGACCATGTGTCCCCAGGTTTTAACAGCTCTTCTTGCATGGTAGGTCTGGCTCCAGGTGAAGGCCCTGCCAGCTACCACCTTCTTCTTTGTTTAAGTTTTTCTTTTTTACCCTCTCTGCACTTCAGTTCTCACTTTAGGTTCTTCCTGGTTCGAGGGAACCCACTTCCTTCCTTCTTGTCTTCCCCATGATTCCAGCATCTGGACTGTTTCTCTCAGAGAGCCTGTTTTCCCTGCTGTACTGTTTTGCCATCTTCCTGTAAGTCCATTACATTCTTTAACCATTCTTTCTCCCCTCTTCCCCAGTATCATCTTTTCCTTTCCTCCCCCAAGCACAATCTCCTTCCTTTTCTTTAATAGTCTCTCTTGAAGAAGAAGTTTTAAATCTAAAAAGAATCAGTTGATTCTGGGCTCTGTGAGGCTAACAGTATGTAGACCAAACTGGAAGTCAGGATTAAAGGAACTTTAGAGGCAAATTGTTTGAATGACGGAACAGCTTCTTTTGGTTCCTATGAGACTGGGCCTGAAAACAGCAGCTATAATTTAAAATTTGAGTAGCCAGGCATGGTGGTGCATGCTTGTAAGCCCAGCACTTGTAATCCCAGCACAGTTGAGGCAGGAGAATTGCTACAAGTTTGAGGTCAGCCTAGGTTACCAAGTGAGTTCAAGGCCATCCTGGACTACAGAGCAAGACTCTAGGTCTCAAACAAAACAAAACAGGGCAAAACAAAACAAGATACACTGTTATTAGTTCTTGAAAAGAAAAAAGCTTTGAGATGTGAAGAGGGAAAATGGAAAAATACAATGTGCTGTTTGTGTTTCAGCTCAAGATTATTTCTGTCTTATAGATGGAAGTCAACTTCACTGCTGGCAATATCTACAATCTCACAGGACTGAAGGCTTCTACTGAATATGGCATTGCTCTGCGTTGTAGAGACAAATTGTCAAGAATTTGGAGTGACTGGAGTCAAGAGAAAACGGGAATGACTGAGGATGAAGGCAAGCAGCTTCTTGTTAATTCCTTGTCTGTTTTCTGTGGGATGGGGGTGTCTCAGTTATACCTGATGGATTTTTCTGTGTTCCAAGTTTAGGAACGATGAAATCCTGCAATCCCAGGGCCAGGAGAATCTGTATGTTGCCTCTCCACAGGCATTCATGGGGCCAACTGATGCTCAGGAAGGAACTGTGATCCTCTGATTGGGGTTTGTTAACTGTAGCAGCTTTGTTCCTAAGTAAAGGATCTTCTCTTTAATACTCTTCTGAGGTTCTTAACACTCCATGTGAAATAGGAGCGTATCATGGAATGTTCTGATAAGCTCAAGACATGTTTAAACCCTGAAGTTACTACTAAAAATATAAACATATAACTAATGAAAGAAAGAAGAAAAACTAAACAAAACAAAGCCAATCTTTAAAGATAGCAAGAGAAGGAAAGAGAAGAGACTATACTTAAGCAAGTGCCATGCTGGTCTCAGATACTAACATCTGGGGTCAACTCCTGATCAAACAGTTTATTGATCTGGCCTCTGCTTGATTTCCTCATGATACCAGGTTCATATTAACTGATGTTTGGCATGTTCACCCTTATTGTCAGATTCTAGAATCAATCTGGTGCTTCGGTATTCACTACTGGAGATGTTGTGCTTAGTTTGAACTTCTCTTTGGTGGTTACAATTTCAGAACAGGGATTTGGGTATTAGATAGGGAATTGGGCTAGACAGCCTATGAAGACTTCTGTGCCATGGTGTAGTCATGTGGGAAAAGGTCACAGAGAATCCAAAATTATTATGTATTAAAGTGCTTAGGATTGTGCCTGACATATGTAAGGGCTATATAAAATGCATAGTAATATAAACTTTTCACAGGAAAAATGTCCACTGGTTATAGTCATTGGAATGACTAGTGTTGTCTATGTTTTAGCTGTGTCCTTTAAAAAATATTAAAAGAAACCCTGAGCAAATTGTCTTCTCTGCTACGCTTCAGCAAGGACTGTGGTGATACAGTAAATCTCAAGTGTGACAATATTTTGTCCAGCTCTTTGCCCTGTCACTCACCACCACTCTTCTTTTCTGGAACTATTATGGCTCAGAATCTGTAGCATAGTTAGCTCTTCACCTTCTAGCTACTCTTTGATGTCAACTTCTTCGATTAGTTTTTCTGTCAGAAACAAGATTTACTCTTTAATCTGATTGATTCAGTTAGACTGGGGAAAATTAATTAGCAAAAATACTAGAATCTGGTACTCTGTGCCATTTCCTAATTCAATTAAATCAATACTTATTTATCAAAATCACCCCAACAGAAGTATGGCTTTTGTTTTTCTTCAGTTTTTCAAGATCCTAGAGGGAGCTGATAAAAATATACCCTAAACTGGGTATGGTGACATGTACCTTGAATCCTAGCATTTGCAAGACTAAGGCAAGAGGATTGGTGAAACTTTGAGGCCATCCTCGGCTACATAGTGCACTCAAAGCCAGTCTGGACCACCTATTGAGACCTTGTCTCAAGAAAAAACAAACAAGTGAAAAGAATCACACCCTAACTCCCTTAACAAAACTCATGAACTGTTTTCCATATTTCACAAAGAAATGCTAATCGTTTAATGCATACCACCTCAAAACTTTCTATTATTTGAAAGATTCTAAGTTAAATATGAAGTACTGCCTATTTTCTTTTGGATTTCAACATATGAGTAGGGCTACTTACCCATATACAATCATTTAAATATCTTCATATATATATATAAAATTTGATTAAAATCCTGCCTTTATTATTTAAAAGTAAAATTTTTTAAAAAGTAAGCTAAGTATTTCTTAAATCCTGACTTTATTACTTATGACATTTGGCATTTGCTTAATTTCTCTATGTTTCAAGGGCTGGGAATTACTATATTTATTTATAGGACTATGGAGATTAAATAAGATAAATGAAATAAATTGCTTAGTATAGTGATACTTGAAAAGAGATAGCTATTATTATTATTATTATTGTTTTTAGTTTTTGGTCTGTGGCAAGTTTACCAGTATGTGTCTGATTAATGATCTTTGTGGGTATATACAAAAGATCATGAGATTGTTACTATATCAGCTCAGACGATTGACACCTTTGTATCCATAGATATTTTGGCTGACTTGGAAAGTATAATTTTGTGTTTTTTTCAAATAGGTCAAAGGAAAGTTATCTACAATAATTTTAGAAGATTTCCATGCTAGTCAGGCAGCTTATGTACTTAAAAGCTGCATCTTTTGGGAAGTTTATATTGCGAAGACTGAATCATATTATAGTTGATAATGGCCTCAAAGTAGAAAATGCCTAATTAAACTAACTATTGCCATGTACTAAAACTACTTTGAGATAAGTATAAGAACTATACTCACATTTCTAATTAAGTGCCTAGAATGATTAATTACCAGTTTAATTTTACCTACATTTATCCTCAAGACTTAGGACTGGATTTTAATGATTACTGTATCTTAAAACTTTTTTTCTTACTCTCATTATCTTTGAGTTTGACTTTCTACATGACTGGAACAAGATTCTGCAACAGAGTTCTGGAGATTGCTTTGAAGATCTTATGATTTTGTAGCCTCCTGCTAAGGCTGTCTGTGAGGGGAACTCTTGTTTCTGCTTATTCATAAATAGGCTGAAACTAGCCTATTGTTCCCTTTCTGAGAAAGTTGAGTACTGGCTGTTCTGTCTTCTGATTCAGTGAAGACTGGGAAATCAGAAAACTCCTGGCAGAGCTTTTAGGACCACACCTTAGTGGAATTTAGATGAAGTCATATGTGAAGTCTAAGCCACTCCAATCAAGTAGTTTAAATGAAATTACAATGGATCTCTTTGGGAGACCTTGGCTTGAACAATTAGAGCTTGTTAGCCACACTGATTTATGCAAAAATAGTGTAAAAAGTTATTGACTTAATTGCCCTTTGGCATACTTCTCTGCATTTTAAGGTTGTTTTTACTGGATCTCAGTAAATTTCATTAAAAGATACCCAGTCACTTAAAATTAAAAAAGTTCCCTAAAGATAAGCTCTCAGTACTAACATGGTTCAGATCTTCATCTTAGCGATGGACCCATTCTTTGTAGACTTAATTATAGCGTCCCTAGCCATGTGACTTCCTCAGAAAGGGATCTAGAGAACAACAATTTCAGCATTTCAGCTGAAGGCTTTTCCTGTCTTCTGTAAATCCCAGGCTGCTACCCTCTGGGACGGGTTTTTAGAGTGCTTTGCTTTTCTGTCTTGGCTAAAGGATATGAGTCATGTTTTAAGCAGCATTTTGACATTTCAGGTGAATGTCAGAGCATTGAACTATAAGTTGTCAGGGATTCACGCCTTGCCAAAACTTTCTTGAGACATAGTTGAGAGAAATAGTCTAGGGAAAAATGAAAAATAAATTCTTTGTTTTCATAAATTTTATCCCTGTATGGTCAGACCATCAGAACCCTAAACTATGTGGTGTTTTTTACTGAATGTGGTTAAGTCTCAGTTATGCTCTTGCATGTTATAGAAGAAACTTACATATGTGGTATTCCTATACTTTTGCTCACCTGGCACTATACACATTAGTCTCTATGTTACTCTGTATCCTTTTTGAGAGGATTCATGTGATAAAAATCCATTTATGAATTCAGCCTTCATAGCCAGAAAATAATTCCCTACTTTTATGAATGTTTATGTTTCCCTTTCATCAGGCCATGAGAGATATAGCAAGATAAGCATTAGATTTAGAGCTCAGAAAGGGACCTAGTGAAAATTATTTCCCTGATCCTTTCCTATTTAATTTTTACATCTATAACATTGTAACTTTATCCTTTTTGGAAGTAGACATAATATAAATTTTATATGTATATATTATATATATACATATATTGTCAGTAATCTGTGTCATTCCCAACTTTAATGTATTATGTATTATATCTTGGAGGACATATTATTCACATTTTTCTCCAGATTTCGGTACTACATGAGATCTGTACTTTTTTAAAAACCTTACATTAAACCGCCAGACCCAAGATTAGTGTTCTTTTTAACTTTGGTTGATTCCAGTGCTTTAACCACAAACGAAGACTTCATTTGTCATTACAAGGCTACCACCACTCCATTCTCCTATCCTCTTGCTGGCTCCTCAAACATATCTTTCCCAGGTACATTTTCTGAACAGGTAGGTAGCCCAGCTAACTTCCCTATGTCTTTTTCTCTGGGTTAACATTTCACTCTTACTCCTTTCAGTTCCACATATCCTGGATCTGTGGCGCATCTTGAAACCAGTGGACGTGAACGGAAGTAGACCAGTGCGCTTGCTATGGAAGGTGGCCTCCTTTTGGGTTATTTACTTATTTATTTCCTTTTTAAAGAATTCTTACTTTCTTTTTTTTTTTTTGTGTGTGTGTGTGTCTTTTTCCTTTTTTATCGGTACCGGGGTTTGAACTCACGATTGCCAGCTTGCAAGGCAGCTGCTTATGCTGCTGAGCTAAATCCCCAGCCCCCAAAAATCCTTACTCTCTTACCTGTCTTAATATTATGATTTTTGAAACTTAACCTCCTGAATTTCCTTCCCTAGAGGGCCTTATGATACATCTAATGTCACTATGGTTGAACAGCTTGGGAAAGCCACAAAGGTCACCTTATAGATGGTTGGAATGCATAGAGACCCCCAAGGACACTTCCTTTTTGTCTGAAACATCAATATTGGGGGCAGTTACAAAGTATAAATGTAAGAAACATTTTAGCCATCTGGAGGAAGCCATTCCTAGCTGGCCTCCACTGGCGTGCGAGGTAGGATTCTGAGCACTGCCTATGTCTCAGGTCATTTCCGGCGTGTCTTGGTCATTGCTAACATGTGTCCCTTTGAGTAGTAACATGATGAAGTACAGGCAGAAGAGGGAAAAGTGGTCTTTTCTAGTGAGGAATCCTGGAAGTGAAGAACAAGGAGAAGACAGGTAAGTAACACAGGGAAGAGGAAAAAAAAAAGAGGTAATAAGAGAACAAAGTGAGGAAGGAACAGAAAAAGTAGGGAGGTAATTAAACAGGAAAGGAAAAGGACAAATACAGAAAAAAAATACGAGAAATTGGAGGTAGAAGATGGAAAGCTGAGGGCTGGGGGAGAAACGTAGAGAAGAGTGAGATGTCAAACCTCTTTCATATATCCCCAGATTTCTCAGGAAATTCTCATTATGTTATATCATGCTTGCTAAAGTTCAGTCAAGTTAAAACCTCCTTACAAATGGAGGAATCACTCTGCTTTGCCAAATGACATCCCAAACCCAGTTACTTTAGGCTGGAGCACCCTCTACCTCTGCCCTTCTTCCCCAGATCTCCAGGGCTGTGGGATACTCTCCGGTTCCAGAGGCCACAGACAAAGGACAGCATAGCATGGGTGTTGGGAAATCTTTAAAAATCAATCACAGATACTGTGATTTCGTTCTCATTTATCAAGTCTAGAAACAGATAACTCTGTCAACATTAAAAGTAAATAATGACACATACCCACGTTAGCTAAGCTATGAGGGGGTAAGGATGAAGTAGACCAGCCTGTGAAGTACTTGAGATGGACTTCAGAGGCCCATTCTGTCTGTCTCACCTGGAAATTCTTCTTTTCACCTTAGGAGGAAAGTTTTCTGGGAATCTGAGTTGGCTAATAAAGTATGTATCTAAAATTAGATAGTGGTAGTGGTGGAATGTGTCTGTGAATATCCTTCAAAACCACTGAATTGTACACTTTCAAACTGAATTTTTTAGGATCGGATTATATCTTAGTAAAACTGTTATTTTAAGAAGAGAATAGGTTGTCTTGTGAGTAAAGGACATAGTCATTAGGATGATTCTAAATGGTCTTTTTGGCTGTAGACTGTAAACTGGCAAGACAAAGGGCAAAAGTAACTTGTAGTACCCTGCTTGAGTCATACATTGAGTCTCAGTCATTCTGCTCCATCTGTTTTTAATCAGTGAAAGAAAGTGAAAAAATGGGAAGCCTTATAATTACAAGAAAATTTAGCACACTGACTCCTATACAAAGCATCTGGTTAGTAGGTCCAAGTTCAAGGCTGAAAATAAGAATTTGGCTTGGAGCCCCTGGGATTCCACATTAGGCTTCTCACCAGGGCTTTGGGGCTACTAGGGCAGCCTGAATGTTTTAGTCCTCTTAGCTGGATGCCTGGCTGAGGCCTGGTCCAGGGAGGTGGGCTGTCTCCTTAGAAGGGGAGGTGTGAAACATAAGAGAAACTTTCCAGTTTTCAAGGCTTCCAGGCAAGAGATGACCAAAGATCAGATTAGAATTAAGGTTGTCTTAGAGGAAATCTCTTGGCTTTCTAGCTTTACTCTTCTGCCCATATATGCTAGAGTGAAAGGTACAGCCAGAAGAAAGTGGCTTGTTTACACTGGTTTAGGGATTCTCCTAGTTTAGCTTCATGATTGAACTTACGTTAAGGATTGATACCAAGATACCGTTTAGTATATCCTCCTTCTGGCATGTGAAGGGTTAATATCAACAGCATGAGTATGTTATTGATCCCTGAAAGATAAATACATGGTTGTAGTTTAGCATCTAATAGCTAAGGTAACCTACTGTCACTCTCCATCCCTCCATTTATCACTGTGTGAATGCCCTGGTTTTTTTTGTTTTGTTTTTTTGGTGTTGTAAATAAATTTTATTTCCTTTGGGTCCAGAAGGCAAAAGGAGCACCAGTCCTGGAGAAAACACTTGGATACAACATACAGTACTCTCCAGAAAACAACACTAATGTCACAGAGATGAGGACCACTAACCAGACACTTGAACTGCATCTTGGAAGCGAAACTTACACGGTGTCTGTGACTTCTTATAATTCTCTTGGGAACTCTATAGCAGCTACCCTGAGGATTCCGGGTGTTCATGAGAAGTGTAAGTGGAGCATAAACTTCTTACTTGGATGCCTAGTCTTGTAAAATTCATTAAGAATCAGTCCTTGTCCTCTTAAGGATAATTATTTCTCTTAAGTTCAAAATGAAAAGAAAGTGAAGACTTTTTAGGTTGTGGTGGGGAAAACAGAATCTGTTGATATTAACAAGCCTTTGAAATGAAGTTGCTTTAGAACATAACTTGTAATAAATATTAGAGACTTTATATATTCTTAGGATACAAAATCATATATATTTGTTCCAGTCAGTGTGAATGAAAGCTACACCAAGCCACATAAAAAGGATCACATTTGGGCCAGGCATGGTGGTGCATGCCTATAATCCCGGCATTTGGAAGACTGAGCAGGATTGTTGCCAAGTTTGAAGTCAACCAGGGCTACAAAGTGAGTTCAAGACCAGCCTGAACTGCATAGTGAAACTCTGTTTCAAAAGGCAAAAAAAAAAAAAAAAAAAAAAAAAGGTGGACAGATCTATACTTGAAATTTTGGGTCCTCAGTGACCAAACCTCTCTTGATTCTTTCCTATAGATGGTGTGCGTACATCACACAGGTGTGCATATGCAGGGATTAACCTTGGTCCCAGCTGTGACTTAATGCTCATTCACTGTTTTCTTCCCATTTAACTACCAATATGTTGCTCATTATACCTTTTTTTTTTTTGGAGACAGGGTCTTGCTATACAGCTTACTATGTTACCCAGGCTGAATTTACTATGTAGCCTAGATTGGCCTCAACCTCACAGTGATCTTTCTGCCTCAGCTTCTTGAGTGCTTGGATTACAAGCATGTACTATATCACACCCAGATGTTCGTTACACTTTTGATAAGTAGTTTGGAACATCTTACTAGTATCAGACAAATTCGTATTTCATACTCTGTTTGGAATATAATACCTTCTTTGATTCTTTTTCAAGAATTGCAAATGATAGATTTTCTTCCCCTGATTTATTTTTCTCTATCAAACTTAGTACCTTCTTTTGTTCCATATATTTTCTCATTTATTTTATTGCCTTTTTCTCCTTCAATAGGATGCCTTTCCCATGAGGAGAGGGAATTTTGTCTGTTATTTTTTCTTTTTTCCTCCTTTTAAAAATCTAATCTCCAACACCTAGAATAGTATAGAACAGTTGGCATAGAGCAGATGTTCAGTAATGCTTTTTCAAAACATACCATAGACAAACAATATGCTATCTAATTTGCTGCTTTTTTATTTGCTTAGCCATAATTTAGTTCAGGCAGTGATATTACCATCTCTAGACTTCACAGCCTGTCCTCCATGTCTTCTCTTTCCCTTGAAGTTAATTCACTTCTACTATCATTTTAGATATTCATGTTTTGCATTTGAGCTAAGTTGATATTATTTTAATAGTTATCACTTAGTAGTATTTCTTGTGATCTTTAGTTCCTGACATCATAGTTCCTGTCTGTCCAATACTCTAGTGATGAAGTTTCTGACAAAGGTATATATTTCTAGAATAATGTCTTTTATTAATCAAGTTACTGCTATATAGTCACCTTAGTTTCCTTGTGTGGTCCCAGACTAGCGGGCATTAGGAATAGGGGAAGATAAAGTGCTGTATGCTTGTAATCTGAGTCTCAACACTCTGGGAGGCTGAGGTAAGAGGATTACAAATTCAGGCAGCCTGGGCAATTTAGTGAGACTCTGTTTCAAAGTTTTAAAAATTTTAAAAGGGACTGCAGATGTATCTTAGAGTATAGGATCTGGATCCAATCCTTAGTATCACACCAAAACCACCACCAAAAAAAAAGGGTTGTGGTGAAGTACAGACCTTGTAGTTCAATAACCTGCCTTCAGATAGTTGCTGTTTTACAAGATATTATTAACCATCAGCAAGTTACCTGACCAAATTCTAAACTACATGTAAGACAGAGATTAAATGAGATTCTGTATGTAAAACGGTCTGCCTGATGCTAATTACTACTATAGTGGTACCTTAGTTCGTGAACTTAATTTATTCCACAATTCTGGAAAAGATGGCCATGTTCATATTCATGCAAGAAAGACAGCTCCACAGTCATGTTTGTCACCCAATGCAGGGTTGCAAGCAAAAGCAAAATTTTGCCAAACATTTCTTTTTGTGAACCAAATTGTTCACAAACAAAAGTACTTATGAACTGTAGCGCCATTGTATTGTCATTCTAGTAAAATCTCTGATTAAATTTGTTAGATGTAGATTATTAAGTTTAAAAATCCTAAAAAATTAAAATTATGCTAAATTCACCTAATTTTTTTCTGACCTTGTGTCAGAGGCAGCAGTTATAATGATCCTAGACCAGATATTGGCCAATTGTAGCTTCTGGGCCACATCTTTTCTGACAGTTGTTTTTGTAAATGAAGTTTTATTGGCACAAAGTCACATCTGTTTGTTTATATATTATCTGTGGCTTCCTTTGTGCAATGATGGCAGAGTTGAGTACTTGTGAAAGAGACTATCTAGCCTGCAAAGTCTGAAATATTTACCCTAACTTCCTCATTACAGAGGAAGTTTACAGACCCTTATTCTAACAAATAAAAAGTACTGTTTTCTGAATTTTGTTTAGTAAAGTAGAGGCAACTAGAGTGAAGTTAAAATGATAATTTATAAGTAGCTATCATTAAGTATAATCACCATATATTATGCATTAGTATATTTCATACATTGTGCAAAGATAACATAGTTTATTTTATTGTAGCCTTGAAATGACTCATCATGTACATGTTATTAGACCCGCTTATTTTTAGACAACAAAGTGATGCAGAAAAGCTCAGAAGTTTTCCCAATCTCTGAGGTGAGATTCCAGCCCCGGTGTATGTGAGCCAAATTGGTACAATAGTTTACCCAGAATTTTGGACCTGGGTTAATGCAATGATTTAGAATTTGTCACACATGCTGTGTGATACTGAGCTTATTATTTACCTCTGTGGGCCTCCATATTCTCAATTTTTTTTTTATAAGAGATTGGCATAGATGAACCTTCAGGTTCCTTTTAACTGAAAATCCTATGTTTTGTGAGACCTTAGTCAGTAGACAGCTTCCAAGTGGTCTGAGGCAGGGTGGAAGAAGCATAGCTACTTGTGTGGTGAGGGGCTGAGGCAGAAATAAGGGCTGTGTCAGGGTAGAATTCAGTCAGGATAGCTGGCAACAGGAGAGTAGTCCCTGAGAATAGTTGTTTTTTTGATAGACCCGAATGACTGTCTTCATGCAAGTCAAAAGAAATTAGTAGCGTTAGCAGTCAAGGGACCTCTCCTTTCCCAGGAAGGATGTGTTTCCTGAGAATGTGGTATAATTGGAATAATTACTCAAAAAGTTCTTGCTAAATGATGGAAGGAGGTGACAATTAGTTTATATTCAGTGGAATGATGATTTGGAAACTTCTCTTTGAGCATCTGTAATGAAATCAGCTCCTTCCTCATTCATGTTTGACTCATGGCTCTGTGGAACCCATCCCCCACCCCTCACAGTCTCTTCACTCTGTAGTACATGTAGCTGCTTAGATCTAGCTCCTCCTGCTGCTCAGAGCTCCCAGATCGGTGAGGAGAAGAAGTGTGGAAGCAGAACTCACTCAAGGTGAGGATTTACTAGCAAGTCATTAGGAAAGTGGCTCCAGGGAGATCAGAAAAGAAAGTAGATGGAGCAGGCTAGGCTAGGGAAAGAGGCTCAGACAAACATGATATTTTGTCCTGTGATTGCTGTAACAAAGTACCACAAACCAGTGGTTTAAAGTAACAGAACTGTATTGACTTATAGTTCTGGTAGTTACAAGTCGAAAATAAGTTTATGTGCATTGGTGGTATAGTGGTGAGCATAGTGGCATTTTAAAATCAAGCTGTTGGACTGTGGGGGAAGAGAACAAAAACTCACCAAGATGCAAACCCTCTGTGCAAACCAGTACCATGTTTGGGCCACCAGCAGCAGGGGAACTGCAAGATCCAAGCCCCTTCCAGCACACAGGCTGGCAAACAAGAAGAGCCAATCCCCCCATAAGCAATCAGCTGACTTAGAGAAACACAGGCTGCAATGATAGCTATGGAGATGAAATGGAATTTGATGCTTGTGGTATTTTGGTATTTCACTAACCTTGCAGGTCTGGGGCCAGTGTTCTGATCACCTGTTCAGAGGAAGGTGGTATGCAGTGTGGCTTCTAGGGGGAAATGTCTTTCTGAAGGTGGTGGCCATTGTTGATTGCCTGTTGTCTTGTTCTGAAGTCCTGTATCAATTTCATTTTTCATGTAGCTTGGAGTGTCTCATACAGGCCCAGCTTGGGAAACAGACCCCTAAACTGTGCCTTACAAGGATGAGAATCTGCTAGATTCATTATTCCTCAGATTTATATTTTTTTGATTTGCAAAAGCATCTGTAGATATATCTTTTTAGTCAGTAACTCTTGAGTGAAATTGGTTTCTGGAAACAGTTGAATCTTGAGGAGGCAAAGGCAGATTAAAAGGCATCTAGGAGGGCTGGGGGTTTAGCTCAGCACTCTAAGTGCCTGCTTGGCAAATGCAAAATCATGAGTTCGATCCCAGCACCATGAAAAAAAAAAAGAGAGAGAGAGAAAAAAAAAATTGCTTCACAGTTGCAGATAATTATTTTTCTAAAAAAAAGAAGGCATCTAGGACTGAGGATAAAACTATGGCTTTAACATACATATGGCCTTACTTAGCTTGATCCCTAGCACTGAAAACAATTTTTAAATTTTATTTAAAAATTTTATTTTAAAGAGGATAAAATCAAGGAAAATAAAACAAAATAAACTAGTATAACTGATATAGGACTTCAAAACATTACAAAATCAACAATAATTACCATAATGCCTTTTATTGCCTTCAAAATAGCTGCAGATACTTTCAGACATAGTAAAAACTGAACAGAACACACTAAAATAGAAACAATAAAAACAAACCAATGAATGCAATAAAGGACTTCAAAATAAGCCAATAGTAAATCCAAAATAGCTACCATAATGTGTCTTGCTATCTTTTAAATGGCTACTCATGCCATCAAATTTAACATAATCAAACAAAAGAAAAGAAAAGAAAACCCAACCCAACAATGAATATAATACAGTTTCCAGGTGAGGATCACCTCCTGGTGAGGCCTGGTTCTCTCTCCCCACAGTCCATGAATGGCGCTGACTGACAGAGAGAGGCTTGGGTCTGGTTGTCCCCACACCAGCAGCGGTTCACACATGGTGCTAGTTTACAGGTGGGGATCACCTCCTTGTGAGACCTGGTTCTTTCCCTTCACCTGAAAAAAATTTTTAAAGGCACTTAATTATAAAAATATTGAGTAAGCTAGAGTAAGAAAAAGGGATACAGTAAGAAGAGTGGAAATAGCACTGTCAGAGGAGAGCCTGAGCTCTGACTTTCACAACTCAGACACTGAATAAATGCAGGTGTGGTTGGTTCATTTTGGGTGAGGTGGGTATCCGTGAAGCAGTCCTGTTCTCTTCTTTCAGCATTTCAGTGCATCAAGGCTGTGAAGGCCTGCCTTGTTCAGGACCAGCTGGTGGTGGAGTGGCCACGTTCCTGTCAAGATGTGGACACATGGGTGGTTGAATGGTTCCCAGATTTGGACTCAGAGCTCTCTGCCTTTTCCTGGGAATCTGTGTCTCAGGTCAAGAACTGGACAATCCATCGAGGTAGCTAGCATAGAATCTTTGTGTTCTCTTTCTGAAATATTTGGTTTCACCTTTAGTTTTTTAAATCCTTAACTTTTATTTCAAAGGATAAATGTGGTTAATAGTGCTTGAAAAGGTTGTGTAAGCTCAATTAAGTGTCATGCTTGGAATTTAGTAGAGCTGGCATAGAAAAATGTGGGTCCCAGGCCAGGTAGAAAACAACATCTTATCACTCACCATCAGAGAGCCCTTCTAAGATACCTCAATTATCCCAGTAATAACACTGGAGTATAGATCCCATCAGTCCTACTGAGGCTACTGCTCCCTTGCATCCTGGTTGCTTGTTTAAGAGCTGAGCCCCTGTCCCAGGTGACTGATACAGGGATGCAGGCAGGTAGCAGAGCTATACTTGATTGTATCTGAGTTCTCTAGGATGATCTGTTATTGCCAGAAGGATTTAAGTTTTGTCCTGAAGTGTCCCAAAGTCATATGAGTAATTCAGTGATTGAGGAAGGATTGGCTCGCCTACTGATCTTTTCATGGATGGCTGTGTAATTTTATTGAAGTGGCACAGATTTTATTTCTAAGATTTAATGAGAAAAATCTTAGAATAAAAATAGACATTTGAGACCATTCAACCCAACATTCTTAATTTTCAGATGAGGAAACTAGAAAATGCAATCTCTTTTATGAGTCTTAGACCATAACTTGGGACCTAGCATTTGTTCCACTCTTACATGCTCTGTATTTATGCTTCTCTTACAGATAAATTAACACCCTTCTTATGCTATAATATCTCTGTGTATCCAGTTTTACAAGACCGAGTAGGAGAACCATATTCCATCCAGGCCTATGCTAAAGAAGGCAGTATGTATGAACAAAGCCCTGTGGGGAGGTGAAGAAGAAACACTGGACTCTTTCCAACATTTAGATAAAGCTGAGAGCCTATAACTCAGTAATAGTTGCTTTAGGCCCCATTTTTCTGCACCTTCATCATGTAATGAAGCAAGTATCTTGTAGCAAGCTATGTGTGTTCAACACAGTTGGGGTCAGGTTATAGAGTCACTGAATTTCAAAGCTAGGGAAGGCATTAAATATCAAGTCCTTATTTCATAGATAGTTGAGGCTGAGAACAATGAGATAACTTACCCAAAGCCTCAGAGAAACTTAGTGTAAATGGAGATGCAACCAGAAATAACATTTAATTAGGACCAACTCAGGGAATCCATAGCTCATCATAAGCTGAACATATTAAAAATCATTTTAATTATGTAATAATAAGCAAAGGTTTTTCTAATAAGTGCCCAAATTTTGTTTTTATCTATTTGGAAGTCAACATCTTCCATATTTAACATTGAAAAATATCTTCTACTAAGAAAAGATAGTTCATGGAAACACAGCCTCCAACTATTAGACAATAGAGATAGAGATGTATATATGAAAGATCTGAGTGCCAAACTAGAGTAAAACATCTGTAAGAAAGTATTTTTTCTAGCCTTTGACGCCACTTGTTTCTTAAGATGCATGGTTGCAGAAAAATATCTTTTCTAACAAATTATCTCATCATTTTCCTATTCCACCCTATGTCTAACCTCCAGATTGTAGTTTTGGTCTGAGAACTAGCAGAGCCTTTGCGAAGGAGAATCTGCGGGGCTGACTCAGTGTTAATCATTTATCTCCTTGTCTTCTCAAGTCCCATCAAAAGGTCCTCTAGCCAAGGTAGAAAACATTGGTGTGAAGACAGCCACCATCACATGGGAAGAGATTCCCAAGGAGAAGAGAAATGGTTTCATCAGCAACTACACCATATTTTACCAAGCTGAAGGTGGAAAAGAATTCTGTAAGTATGCTCATGGCTAATATGAAAAAAAGAGAGATGATATAGATGGATTTGTCGTTAGTGTGGTTCCCATGGAGGTAATGTTACCTGCAAAGCTGGATAGATTACTAGCTTCTTTGAGCCTCTCTGAGTATAGGTTCAAGTAATCTGAACAAAGACTTTGAAGATAACAATAAACAGTATATTAACCATTGTTAATCTTATTATTTTGTTTTGAAATTCTTTATCACTGTTTTTTTTTTCATTTTTTAAAAAAATATCATCTCTTGGATTTAGGGGTGTTAAGTTGGAGTGAAGTGACAGTATCTAAGAATTCTATAGCAGTTGGTATAATTTGTCCTAGTCAGAACCTGCATGAGTTGATCTCCCCAAGAAATATCAACCATTATTCTTGAGAGAAGTATACCTGGTTTAATGAGTCAAGTTGGGATTGGAGGAAGACATTGTTTGATGGCACTTACCTTAATGCAGGGCTGTTTACCATTATTTCTCTCTCTCTCTCTCTCTCTCTCTCTCTCTTTCTCTCTCTGTCTCTGTCTCTCTCTCTGTCTCTGTCTCTCTCTCTCTCTCTCTCTCTCTTTCTCTTTCTCTCTCTCTCTCTCTCTCTTTCTCTCTCTCTCTCTCTCTCTCTCTCTCTCTCTCTCTCTCTGTTTGTATTTTTTTTTTTGAGACAGGGTCTTGTTATGTAGTTCAGGCTGGCCTTGAGCTCATAGTGATCCTCCTATGTCAGCCTGCTGAGTGGGCCAGCATGCCTGGCTTTCTGCTATGATTTCTACTGTCCATTTGCAGAACATTCTTTTTTCTTGAGTTCACCCTAAATTCTGAGCAGTACTTGATTTCCTGTTTAGACTAAATTTTGTCTTTTATGTAGTAAAAGACACAGCATAAAATTCACTGTTTGAGATATTTGAAAATATATAATTTAGTGGTAATAAGAACATTCACAATGATATGTAATCTTTTCTGCTTTCTAGAAATTTTCTGTCCCACCCTAAACAGAAGCTCTGTAACCTTTAGTCAGTTACTCTGCATCCTTCTCTTTTTTTCATAGCCACCAAATGGCTTTGTGTCCCTATGGATTGCCTACTCGAGATATTTTTATGTAAATATAATCAGAACAGGGGTTAGCTCAGTGGAGAGTAGTTGTCTGCCATTCTGAGTTCCTGGGTTCAATCCCTAGAATTGCAAAATAAACAAACGTAAATAGATAAATAAGCATAAATAAATGAATGAAATTATATGCATGGATTTCAAAGCTCATCTGAGTTATAATATGAATTAGTACTTACCTCCTTTTTATGACCAAATATTCCATCATATGTTTTTCCGTATATTGTTCATTCATTCATTATTTGACAAACCTTTGAATTGTTTTTCAATCTTATGGCACCTATGAATATTGCTTTTATGAATATTGAAGTACAAATATCTATTTGAATACCTAACTCCTGTTTGGGAGTATGAACCTAAAAGTAGAAATGTTGGATTATTTGTAATTCTTCTTGAACTTATTGAGAAACCACCAGACTGTTTTGCACAATAATTACCCCTTTTTCCATTCCCAGCTCAATATAAGAGGGGTCCTTTTGTCTGCATCTATTCCAGCATTTATTTTCTGTCTAAAAAGAAACTATAATTGGTTAGCCTAGTGGACACAAACTGGTATCTCACTGGTTTATATTTCCCTAATATTTCTGAGTATCTCTGTTCATATGATTTTTGGTTATTTATATATCTTCTTTGAAAGACTGTCTTTTTAATTTCTTTGCCCATTTTTAAAATTGGGTTATTTTTGTTGTTGTTGTTGAATTATGGTTCTTTATTAAGGCTATAAATTCCTCATCAAATATGTGATTTCTAATTTTTTTTCAATTTTGTGACTCATCTTTACTTTCTTGATATTGTCTTTTGATGAACAAAAGCTTTTAATTCTAATTCAGCTCATCTATATTTTATTTTTGGTTTATGCTTTTGGTACCAAATTTATGAAATTTAAGATCATGAAGATTTGCCTTACATTGACTTCTAAGATTTTTTTAATAGTTTTAGCTTTCATATGTAAGACTTTGATTCATCTTGATGGGCTGATATTGAACAGGTCATTGATGGGGGCTAAAGAAAGGTGACTAATTGGAAGTACAGATCAAAGTTCATTTTGGAACTACTAAAGTAGTTTTCAATCTGTCTTGGGTGTGATGTTTGACTTCTGCATTTTACCTTTAGCCAAGACAGTCGATTCTAGCATCCTACATTATGACCTGGAGTCTCTAACACGAAAGACCTCCTACACTGTTCGAGTCATGGCCAGCACCAGAGCTGGAGGGACCAGTGGGCCCAGGATAAACTTCAAGACATTATCAATAAGTGAGTATTTCCTTCAAGAGTTGTGTAGGTTTTCATGGCTCTTACCTCAGGCCAGTCAGAAATGACATTATTCGAAGATAGGGGAAGTCAAAGGAGACGCCGCACCTAAGTGAGAACAGACTTCTGCTTCTAGCTTGTTTACTTTCCTGGAAAGCCCCAGTAGAGAGTACGAAGAGGGGAGCAAACAAACAAAACTGAATTTAGAAATTCAATCATTTTGAATCATTTTGCTTCTTCCCCATGGCCATCCCCAAATAACCTTTAGGATGAGAGATCAGTTTAATAAATATAAACTTCAATCTCAGCACCAAACCGGTTCCCATGACAGGGCTGCCCAAGTTCACAATCACCAGTTTTTTAATGTCAGAAATTCCAAACAATAAGGCTCTGGGGAGAAAATCTTGGCTGATGAAGGACTGCTGACCCACAGAAGAGACTTAGGTCTTGTCATTATTTGGTGGAAATTCTTGAGCAAAAAGTTATACAATATGTTCAGCTTACCAGCTTTTACTTTAAAAATAGTGAGCAAGAAGAACATATGAGGTGCAATGAACAATGTAAAATATAATAACTTTGAATGATGGCTGGTCAAGGCAGATGTAAGGAGAGGGAGAGAGATGCAGTGAGGAAGAAGAAAGAGGAAGAAAGAAGGAAATGGAACAACTAGGGCAACTTAATTTGCCAAATCACTGAGTAGCATAGATGCGATTTTTAAGGGCATAGTAAAATTGTTTAAAGGAACAAGCAAACTTTTCAAGTTTTGCAGTTATTAGTACAAGCCGAGAATTACTTAGAAAGTCTTAAAAGTATTAGATTCTTTACATTCTTAAGGAATAAAGTAGCTTATGACTTTGGAAAATGTGAGTAAAGGATGTGTTTTTACAGAGAAAACATTCTATCTTCAGGATTAATACTGTCTTCTTGAACCTCTTTTTGATGTTGCTGTTTAAAATCCTTTGGAGAATCATGTTATACTTTCACAACAGTAGAAACAAATGGTTTCAGCTCATAGGATTTGCTGTGAGGATCAAATTGAAGGCAAATCCTAGAAGTCCCTGAATTATAGATCTAAGAAATCCATAGATTGTAAATCACCTCACTTCCATTTTTGATTCTCTGCCATCTCTTCTTTTCACAAACGCAATAGATTTAAGGCCTAAGTTCCCTGTTTAAGACCCACCAGCAATTGCCATTGTATTTTAAATAAACTCTTACCCATGACTTTCTGTGTTCATCATCTGTGCCTTACCAAACTCATTTGCTACCAACACCTGCCTTTGTGTTCTCTGATGTGTTCCTGCTTCAAGGCTTTGCATCTGCCTGGAGTGCTTTTCTCTTTCCATGGGAGCCTCTTTCTTGTTATTAAATTCACACTTCTATTTCTCCTCCTCCTTTTTCTTTTTCTTCTTCTTTCCTCCTCCTCTTCTTCCTGCTTTCTTCTTCCTCTTCCTCTTCCTCTCTCCCTTCTTGTTCCTTTTCCTCTCCTCCTGCACCTCTCCTTCTCTCCTCTTTTCCTCCTCCTCTTCCTTCTCCTTCCTCCTCTCCCCCTTCTTCTAGGCCTTCTCCTTCTCTTCCTTTCCTTTTTAATGGGGTAGGGGTGGGGTTGAAACAGAGCCTCCTTCATAGTCCAGGTTAGCTCAGAGTTGTGGTAATCCTCCTGCGTCAGCTGAGGCATGGAATTCAGAATGGAAGTACCAGATCAATTGAAATTTCACTTCTTCCTTGACTAGCCAATCTAAAGTTGCTAATCTCCTTACCACCTTATCCTAGTTACTCTTTTATTAGTCTTTTATCCAAAATATTCTTGCGTGGCTTATGATCTGAATCTACCACAACATAAGCTTTCTGTGAATAAGAACCTGGTATTTCTTGCTTATTCCTGTTTATTTTATTACTAAGAACAGTGTTGGCAACCACTAAATGCTAAGTAAGTATTCACTAAATGTGCAAAGCTGGAAAATGGCCCTGTAGGACACAGTGTCTATCAATATAAAGTATCTCTTTTGTTAGGTAGGAAAAAGACAACTAGATGGGGAGCCAGGAACTTCAGAGTTTATTTTAATTGAAAGAAATTGAATTTAATTGGAAGAATCTAGTAAAAAATGTTGCTAAAGCTACTAGAAAAAAAGGTTAATGTTTGATTTTTGTCAAGAAAATGGGAACTGAACTTATGATGATTTTTGTTCTCCTTTCCCTGAAGGTCTCTTTGAGATTATTCCTACAACTTGTCTCATTGGAGGAGGTTTTCTTATGCTCATCGTTCTCACAGTGGTCTTTGATTTCAAAAGACAAAAGTGAGTTTTTGTCAATAGTAGTAAGTGCCTTAAAAATTATGGACAGAAAGGGAAAGAGGGCATCATGAACATTTGGCATAAGAGGATATTCTACCATGATGAGAGTGTTTATTCCTGTATTAATCTGGTACACATTTATTGAGATTATTAAAGACCATGTTATTATGCAAATCAATAATTGTAATATCCCACATTAACAGAACTAGGACAAGGACCACGTGATCATTTCAATAGATGCAGAAAAGCATTCAATGAAGTCTAACATCCATTCATAATAAAAACTCTATAGAAAATTGGAATAAATGGTCTTTATCTCGATCTGATAAAAGTCACCTATGACAAGCTAACAACTAGTATCTTGCTAACTGGACAAAAACTGAAAGCTGTCACTCTAAAATCAGGAATAAGACACGGATGTCCACTACCATCACCCCAATACAATATAGTTCTGAAAACATTAGCCAGAAAAATTAGACAAAAGAAAGAAATAAGGATAGGAAAGGAAGAAGTTAAATTGTCATTAATGTAAATGACATGACATGGGATCTGCATAGAAGATCCCAAAAACTCAACCAAAGATTTAATAACCAATTCAGTAGTGTAGCTAAATACAAAGTCAACAACTCAAAAATAAATAGCATTCCTATACACAAATAGCAAGCTAACTGACAGAAATTAGGAAAAAAAATTTTCACAGTAGGATCAATAAAAACGAAATACTTAGGAATCAGTCTAACGAAGTGAAAGATTTTTTTTTAAGTGGAAAACTACAGAGCTCTGAAAAAGGAGATCAAACAGAATGTCAGAAAGTGGAAACTGTCCCTTGTTCTTGGGTAGTAAAAAACCAATATAGTGGAAATGACCATACTAAATAACCATTCTAAAACTATTGTACAGATTTAATGCAATCCTGATCAAAGTACCAATAGTGTACCTCACAAAACTGGAGAAAACATTCCTAAAGTTAATTTATAAACAAGAAGAATAGAAATCTAAAGTAGAAAAGCAATTTTGGGCACCAAAGGCAAAGAAGAAGGCATCACAACACCGACTTTAAATTATACTACAAAGCTACTGAGATTTTAAAACAGGGAGACAGGCAGGCAGGCAAACAAACAAACAAACAAACACTCAGGAGGCTGCAGAAGATGAGCAGCAGCAACAAAAGCAACAGGACAAGCAACAGCAACAGTTCTCTTTTTGTCTCTTAAATTTAGGCCAGGCATCACTCACACCCAGGCTAGGGCGTCCTTAATTCCAGCATCACACACCCTAAAGCCAGCCACCTCTTAAAAGCCCCATGACTTAAAACAAAAAATGAAATAGATTCAAATGACTAAGGGCTAAATGTAGAAGGCAAAGCTCTATAGAAGATAATGTAGGTGTCTTTTAGACATAACTGTGGAGGAAAACTTAAAACAGCAAAAGTTGTAACTTGAAAAATAAAATGATCAATGAGGCAAATCATGAACAAATTGACAGATATGTGTGTGGTGGTAAATATTAAATCTCAAGCTTCATGTGTGCCAGGCAAGTGTTTTACCACTGAGCTGCATCTCAGAATGGAGTAAGATATTCACAACGTACCAGGAAACCAAAGCACATCTGTGTCCCCAGCTACTCAAGTAGCTGAGGCAGCAGGTTTACTTTTGCTCAAGAGTTTAAGGTGAGCCTGGGCAGTGTAACAACACCCATTTCTCCACTTATCTGCAACCATAACAGAGATGATAAAGTATGATGCTTAAATCAGAATATCTAGGCTTTGAGAGGAATGCCTAACAACCAACAACAATAAAAAAGCAGCCCAACAGAAAAGCAGAATAAAAATGTGAACAAGTGACTTGATGTGGAAATCCAAGTAGTTATGCTCATAAGTAAAACATATTAAAACAATCATATATTGCTTTAAACTCATAAACTATGATTGAAAGAGTTAAAAGAAGAAACTAACTGAGCTAAGACAATACAACTTTGCTGAAGAATAAATTATGGAAAGAAATCACTAGTACAAGATACGAAAAATTCAATAGAAAGCATGACCAGCAAAGTTGACCAATATTAGGATAGAATATCAAAAACTAAAGACAATGTAGATATAGTAAATCATAAACTCAGTGACACCCTAATATGACAAGACAACAAATTGGATCCAGTATCAGCTGGATGACTCAGAAAGAAATCAGAATTACAAAAATAAGAGAAAAATTAGATGACTCAAAAAGAAGAAAAAATTTATCCAAATCATAGAAGACAACTTTCCAAATCTAGGAAAGAACTCAGTATTATAGTGTAAGACATATATGCAGCCCCAAATAGCCACAAATGGAAAAGACCTTCTCCACAAAACATTATAGTTAAAATTGCACACATTCAACAAAAATAGTGACTACTAAAACTATTCGAGAAAAATAAGTTATTTATAAAGGCAAGCCTATCAAAATTATAGCAAACGTAGCACAAACCTAGACCAATAGCTTCACTGTTGGTATGCAGGAATACTAATAATTTTTGTGTATTTTGTATCCTGTTACTTTGCTGAATTGTTCACTAGGAGTCTTTGGTGGAGTTTTGGGCCTTTTATGTAGAAGATCATTTCATCTGCAAATCAAGATAGTTTGACTTCTTCCTCTCCTATATATATTCCTTTTCTTTCTTTCTTTTGTGTGGCTGCTCTGGCTGAAGTTTCAAGTACTATATTAAACAGAAGTGGTAAGAGTAAATTTTACATTCAGAATTTTAGCCTGGATTCAATATCCCACTGTCACAAATGGACAGGTCAACTAGGTAAATAATTAACCAAGAAATATCAAAGTTGAACCAAACCTTTAAACTAATGGACTTAATCGGTATCTACAAAATGTTTCATCAACAACAGAATACACGTTGTTCTCAGCAGCACATGGCACTTTCTTCAAAACTGACCAAACACTAGCCCATAAATTATGTTTAAGTAAATGCAAAAGAATCAAAATTATCTCATGTGTATTATCAGATCAGAGTACAATGAAACTAGAAATGAATGGCAAAAGAAACCACAGAAATTATGCAAACATGTGGAAATTAAATAATATCTCTTGAATAATCAGTGGGTCTCAGAAGAAATTAAGAGAGAAATTCAACAGTTCCTACAATCAAATGATAATGCCATTAAAACATACATAAAGCTATGGGACACAGTGAAAGCAGTCCTAAGGGGGATGCTTATAGTTCACAGAAACAGAGTGAGCTCAAATAAATAACCTAATGATACACCTCAGGGTCCTAGAAAAATAAGCACAATCCAAACACAAAGCTAGTGCAAGGAAGGAAGTTATAAATTTCAGAGCAGAAATTAATGTAATTGAAACTAAAAAACAATATAAATAATAGATCAGAGTTTGTTCTTTGAAAAAATAAAATAGACAAACATTTAGCCAGTTGTACCAAATAAAGACCTAATACAACTAGAATGACAAAACGTGAAATCACAACAGATTCTGCCAACATCCAAATCACTAGTAACTACTTTGAGAACCTGTGCTTAAATTAAATGAAAAATTCAGAAGAAATGGATAGATTGCTAGATATATGAAAACTATCAAACCATGACCAAGAAGATATAAAAACCCTGAGTAATGAAGTATCAGTGAATGAAACTGAAGAAGTAATTTAAAACTTTACCAAGATAAGCTCAGGCACAATGTATTTTCTGCCAGATTCTTTAGAACTTTAGGAAAGATCTGACACCAGTACCTCTTAATCTCTTTAATGAAATCAGAAAGGAAGCAGTACTCCCAAGTCATTCCTAGAAACAAGCATTAACCTGATTCTAAAACCAGAAAAGGACTCAACCAGAACTGCAAGCCACACTTTTTAAGGAACTTAGATGCAAAAGTATGCAATAAGATCCTGGAAAACAATGCATCAAAATATTAAAAAAGATCATATATCATAACTGGATAGGCTTTATCCTAGGGACACAGAAATGATTCAATGAACATAAGTTAATAAATGTAATATATCACAAAAGAGGAAAAAAGGACAAATACCACATGCACATCTCAATAAATTCAGAAAAAGCACTTGACAAAATCCAATATCCATTCATCATTAAAAGACTCTAAATAGGTTTAGAAGTACCTTATCTAAATCTGATAAAAGCCCTTTGTGACGAATCAATGGTTAACATCATATTACAAGAAGAAAAACTGAAAGCTTTTGTTCTAAAATCAGGAGAAGGCTGCCATTATCACTACATCTATTCAGTATAGTTCTTGAAATACTGCCAGCGCAATTAGACCTGAAAAAGAAATCAAAGGAACATAGATTGGAAAGGAAGAAAATTATTAGGATTATTATTATTTGCAGATGACATGATCCTCTATATGAAGTCACAAAAAATGACTAATAACCAAATTAAAAACCAGGATTAATAACCAAATTCTGTAGCAGGATACAGAATCAACACTCAAGTATCAGTGCATGGAGAGGGCTTGCCTCCCACCCCATCCTTTAGATAACTTGCAATTTTAACTCCTAAACTGCTTCATTTCCCTGTCTGTCAGGGGTTTGCCCTTGTTTTATAGGGAGCCATACAATTCCCTCTAGCAGACTTCACTGATTTAGACATGCAGTACATGTAAAATGCTTCCCAGACTCAACACCTGTCTTAAATTTTTATCTCTTAGTAGCAAGTTGGCTCCCCTGTGTTGTCCTGATGTCCCCAATCCTGCTGAAAGTAGTATAGCCACATGGCTTGGAACTAATTTCAAGGTAAACTACCGCTGTTTTTATTCAGGAAATCTTTATGTTGATGGGCATGTGGGAGGAAGACCAGGTAGATGGAAACAAAGAAGAGCTGTGGGCTGAGCTTTCCTCTGGGTTTGCATGAAAAGAACTCAAACTTATAAAAGTCCCGGGGAACAGGCAGGGAGGTCACATGGACTCAGCCTCTCGAGAGTACCTGTCATCTCAGGCTTTGAACAGAGAGAAGGATTTTACCAAGCTCAGGAAGACTCAGTGTTCCTAGCATTGGACTGGTTCCCTAAAGCATGCTGCAGAAGAGAGACACTAGCCCTCCCTTTACTAACCTGACCGTGTGTCAGAGAACAAGGTTTGGCTGCAAGATCTGAGGCCACTTCAAAAGCAGCTGGAGCGAGAATTAACTTAGAAACCTCTTGGGATCCTGAGGTGTCCCTAGGCTGTCTAAAGGCTGCTTTGAATTGTTTTCTAATCAAGGAAGTTGAAGTCAAAGTTCATGTAAGTGGCACATTATCGTTAAGTAGAAACCTTTTTTTCATAAGTTTTTAAGTTGAAAACTGTTGTGAAGTTTCTAAGATATCATTTCTTGTTTAAGTCTAAATAACCCCAGTCAAATACTGTATTAAATTCTATATTGAAATCCTTGTTAAGGAAAGATTGTTTCCACCTTTTTTTTTTAACCGTGGGAACTTTGTGTGTGTGTGTGTGTGTGTGTGTGTGTGTGTGTGTGTGTGTGTGTGTTTGAGACAGGGTCTCACTATGTAGTTCAGATGACCTTGAACTCATTTTTATCCCAGGCTGGCCTCAAACTCAGCAATCCTCTTACCTCAGCCTCTCAAGTGCTGGGATTACAGGCATGTGCCACCATGTCTGGTTAATGTGGGAATTTTAAATGTCAGTCTTTACTTCAGTTCAGAAGTCCCTTTAAAAAAAAGTTGAGTGTTTTGTTACAACGAATTTTATTTCCTCCTCTTCCCTCATGAGTTTTGTATTGCTCTCTTCACTTTTTTAATTGGTAAAAGCCATTTAGAGAATAAATGAAATCATTTAGAGAATAAATTTAGAGAATAAAAGAAATACTGTCTCATAATTAAAATGCTTTTTGAATAATCTGTAGGTTGGCCCTCTGCAATAAGCACTGAAAAGTCACCCTACTATATATCAAGCACTGAGTTAGGCCCAGGAACACACACATGACACACAATGCCTCTGCCATGGAATCACCTTTGATTTCTGTGGTGTTGGACAGGTTTGCCATTATGGTTGTGATTTTTCTCTTTCTTGTCTTTGCTTCCTTCCTTTTTTTTTTTTTTTCTTTTTGTTGTTGTGTTTTTGTTTTAAGATATGGTTTTGCTACAAGGTTCTGCCTGGTCCTGAACTCACTATGTAGCACAGGCTGGCCTCAAATTCCTGGTGATCCTCCCACCTCAGCTTCCTGGGTGCCAGGATTCAAGGACAGCCTAATCTACATAGCAAGACCCTGTCTCAAAAAAGACAAAAAAAAAAAAAAAAAGAAAGAAAGAAAAGAAAAGAAAAGAAAAAAACAAAGTCAAACAAAACACCAAAAACCAAAAAGTACAAATAAATGACCATTGGGGTGTCCTCTTCCCTCTCCACCAGGATAAAGTAAATCTGAAGAAGTTTGATAACTCTGTAAGCACAGAAGACAAAACCCTAAAACCATGTCCTAGTGACCTCATTGACAAGTTGGTGGTGAATTTTGGGAGTGTTCTGGAAGAGGCTTTCACAGAGGAAGCCGGAAAAAGTCAGGAAAACATTTTGGGAGCAGAAAAAAATGAGTATGTGACTTCTCCCTATAGATCGGACTATTCCTCAGGGAAGAGTTTTGAGGGGCCTCTGAATCTAACTGAGATTCCTTCCAGAAAATCTCATCACCAGTACTGGGAAATGGCCAAAGATATCTGCTCAGAAGCCAAAGAGGAACTGCCCTCTCCTGGTCAAAGTTCAGGACCAGACCATCTCTGTGGGGACAGAGCACCAAATCCATATTTAAAAAATTCAGTGACAACCAGAGAGTTTCTTAAGCTTGAAGAAGTTCCAGATCATACCAAGAGAGAAGTCTAAACGCTCAAAAGTTCAGTGTGGATGACTCTTCGCTACAAAAATTAGCAAGACTTAGCAAGAAGTGCCTTTTCATCTCCTTCCCCATGCTGCCTGAGTTAAGCAACATCCCTCTCACCATGAGCAGCTTGCTGGGCCTGGCTTTCACAGACACAAGAGTGTACTAGAGAGAAAGCAGGACATTGAGCCTGAATGCTTTGGAAGGGAAAAGCCAGTTCTTTTCTTTTGTTCAGATTATCAGTTCTTGCTGAGGTTTCCTAACATATTGACTCTGAAGGAAGGATCTAGGTTCTGAGCTCAAAGTATCCCTGACCTAGCTGGTCTTCCCCAGGAATGGGGCAAACGATGTTCACTGCCTTCGCTGGGGACACCCTCAGAGTTCCAGGAGGGGCTGTGCCCGAGGACAGTTCTTTGGTTGGAACCTGGTGGTCTGGTGAGAACCTCAGCTTTGCCCTTACCTGCCAAGCAGTCCTGAAATCTTTTGCTCATCAGCAGAGGGGCCAGGAAGCACAGTGGACTTTCTGAAAGGTGTGCCTGAGGCTCCTCATTGTCTTTGCTAAATCTCTGGAGCCTGCAGCAACACCCCAGGGTGTTTATTTATTTATTTATGTATTTATTTATTTTTCCAGTGCTGCAGAATGAACCAGAGTGTCATGCATTTAGGTAGAAGCTCTACTACTGAGCTACACTTCTAGCCCTTTACCCCTACTTTGTAGGGCACTGACTGCTAATAAACCAAGGAATGAGAGAAGGTTTCAGTAGTGCACTGAGTGTGGACTCCAGGCTGGGCAGTAAGTCTGTCCCATCTGCAGGCCATTTCCCAGCTCTTGCTACCCTTGTGCTAGAGCAGAAAGGCACAAGACCTGGAAGTGACTTTTGTATGACCACCGACCCCTCATACTGGCTCACAGCCCCAGAATGTGTATTGAATATACCCACAAAAGGCCTCTTCTCAGCAGCTGAGTAGGGGCTGGCAATGGGCAGTGTTCAGCAACTTTGCTGCTTCATCACAAGGACTTCTGCTTTTTAAGAAGAAGCTTACAATGTGAACTTTGGGGAAAGTACTGATTGCAAGATTCACTTGCTGAGGTCCTGGGAGCTACATGGCTGTTACTTGGCTCCTACCATTACCACAGTGTGGGAGATTACTGGAAATCTGGTGACATTAAGGTGGATAAAGTCAGGGGTGAAGGGCCCTAGATACTATGAACCAAGCATTTCTAATCAAGAAAGCTGGTGGAATTTTTTTCTGGAAGAGTTTAAGAAGTTAATAGTTGGAAGGTTACATACACACGAGCTTCATAGTCACAAAATCATGTATGCAAAAGCCTCACTTTACCTTCTTATTACTAAAATTCTAACATAGCTAAAATTATTTCAAAGCAATGGTCACCCAGCTTGGTGATTTCTGAGTTCCTCTGGCTTTGTAACTCAGTCACAGTTGGGACTGGTTTTCCCTGGGACGAATTCTAAGAGTGTTCAATGCAGCAGCATCCATGAGCCAGGACTGGGCACTTATTAGTGTCCTCTGGGATCAAGTATTTGTCCAGTTGTGGTTATGTTGCTGGTCTTGTATATGTGCCTGTACCCCTGCCTGTGTCTGGTCACTTCCTCCTCAACTGTGTACTTACTGTGGACATAGAAGATGTGACTCTTCTCCCAAAGCTCTCTCCCTCCTCATTAGGTCTCAAGTGACTATAGCCCCTGCCAGGCGCCATCACCCCTGGTTTATAGAACAGTGACTGCTGATAAATCAGGGAACAAGGGAAACCCAAGGCAGGACACTGGGGAATGGGACCATTGGGACTCTAGGTCAGTCTTTTATCCATCTTTTTGCTTCCTAGTCCAGGAGTAGAAAGGACCCCTCTCCTATTAAGTGATATTGCAGATCCCATGGTTGCCCTGCTATTGGCTCCCAGTCCTATAATTGTGGCTTGGGCACTTGTGAGCCTCCTGTCCCCGGGGTTCCCAGGGGCCCATGTCCACTCTTCACTTTGGATTTGTGAACTTGTTGAGACGATTCTAGCCTTGACTCTTGTCTTGGTCTGGGATTGAGAGGGAAGCAAAGGTTACATGCTCCCCTCCACCCGCCCCCGCTACAGTATCTCTTTGACCTCCTGACCAACTCCAGCTGAGCGAATCTCCAATTCAGTGGGAGGCAGGTGAAGAGGAAAGGGCCTTGGGTGAGTCCTACCACTTGTGTCTGTCTCCCACCAGCAGAACCTAAAATTTAAGCATCTGATGGCTGGGTATAGAGTAGGGTCCCAGATGGCTCCCATGAGTGGGTTTCAGAGAGGACAGTGTGACTCTCTGCCTCCCTTCCTGGCTCTCTGCTTAGTCAGTGAAGCTGGCTTAGTCATCTGTTGGTCAGTTAGCAGATGCCACTCTGGCCCTTCTCTGTTTCTTCCTCCTTTGTCTTACTTCTTGCCTCTGGTCTGCTGTTGCTGCTATTTCCCCACTACTCCCAGGATTTCTCAACTTTTCCTGTTTCTTCTCTCATTTGTTTCTTTTCACTCCCCTCCCACTCCCCATCTGCCATATTTATTTTTGCTGCTTTTGAGTGGCGAAGATGCTTTAGGTCTCTACATTGTCACAAATGTGCCCCAAGTGGTCTCCTAGGAACCGGTCTGAGGTCATATCCAGGGCCACACACTGAGCTCTCCAGGGCCATAAGGCGTCAAGCGCAGAAGCCACCGGTGATGTTTTCTTCTGGATCAACTCACGAAGTCCCACTCCCAGTGTCCTGGAATGCCTCTCGCCAGAGAAGGCTGTCTACATGGTCTGTTTTCTGTCAAAGACACCTAATGTGGAAAGAAATATGATGTGTTTTAACAAACTAATGAAAAGCAGATAAAATTTCCATTAGAGTTTTCTAGGGCTTGGGAACCATGTCAACAGCTAAGTTAGTGGCCTCATAGTGGCCTTTCTTTCACAATAACAGAAAAAATGTTTAAAAATGACCTAGAAAACAGTCTGGATTAAAAAACAAAAACACAACCCCAGCTTTCTGGAGACAGCAGTATGAACACATGGTGAGGGGTTTTGGAAGAGGCTGAAGATGGACACGAGAGAAAGGACAAGCCTCCGGTCTCACTGCTTTTTCCTCAAGGTCCAACCTGTGTGTTGGCAACCCATCCCTTGAGGCCCAGCCACCAGGTCCTGCCTGTCTTCCTCCCTGGTAAGGCCCTCAGTTACCACTGCTGTGGGCACTGCAGCCTCCAGCCAAATCCTGCCCCTGTTTTTGTAGGGCGGTGAGCTAATAGTCTGGTATTTTTTAAATGGCTGGAAACAAAATCAAAGAATATTTTGTGATGTAAAAGCACATTAAATTCAAATGTTAGTGTCCACACATAAAGCTTAATTGGACCCTAGCCAACCGCATTATTCATCACATCAACAAATGGCCGTTTTCCCCAACTAAGGCAGAATTGAGAGGATGAAATAGAGACTGCTGCTCCCCCAGAAGTCCTTTGCAAGTTCGTAGACACTTTCTGTGTCTTATACATGTGAGGCTCAAGACTGTATTATGTTTTAACTTTTAAGTAGCTGCTAATTAAAAGCAAATCAGGATGAGTCATTCTTGATCTCTAGCTAAATAAGGATGCCTGCCTTAGGCACACACATTCTAGCTTGCCCCAGTTCTCATCACTTCCTGTTCCCTGCCTACAGCTGAGGTGGCAAGTTGGCCCCTGCCTATCACCTACACCAGTGGTTCTCAACTGGGGTGACTTGGCCTTTCAATCTGCAACTCACACACATTGGATTTCTGAATGTGGTTTGGATTCCTGAGCGTAGGGGGGCACTACTTCCATCTAGTGGTTAGAGACCAGCAGTGCTAGTAATTTTTGCAATGTGCAGAGTAACTCTCACCAGTAAGAATGATCCCCAAGTATGCCCACATCAGCAGTGTCACAGTTGTTGACTGATTTCTGCCTTCAAGGTCCATTAAATTAATATTCTTATCTATTTGTAGTGTAATCTGTGTGTGTATTGATACATATTTTCACCTATTTGCAAGTCGTGTATTGAATTTGTTATTTGCATATACTATTTCATATATAAAATTCATGCATGAACATAGCATGGAGCATCTTAAATGGCCACATAGCTCTTCTCTCTGTGCTTGCATATTGTGGTTTTCAAGACATGAATTGATATGATTGTTAACATTTTCCATTAATATAGAATAATTGCAATATACATTTTTGTATGAAATTTTCTTTTCTCGCCTTTCCCCTGTGTCTTTGGGTTGTTTCCAAAAGTGAATTGGGGTTCATGATTTATAGATATTGTGACTTCTTATGTAACTGTACCCCAGCAAAAGCTACACTGACTTTATGGGATTACCAGCATGTCAGGAATCTTTTGTCCTGTATAATCAGCTGTTCACTGCTACAAACTTGATGTTGCCTTAATTGTCTCATGTAAGTATTAGTTATTGACAAGGCCTTGAACCTGAGAGCCCCTGGTGGATAGCTTATTCCACAAGTTCTCTACCTTCCACATTTAGGCTTTGGTGGCATTGACATTTTGGTTTCCTAAATGACCTCCAGCTCCACCCTCAGCTTCCCATGGAGTCCAGCCTCTGCATTCTTTACTAGAAGTGAAGGTACTCAAGACTCAAGACTCAAGACAAGCTCTTAATGTGCACCTCCCACGCAACCTGCCCCTCCTCTCCATGTTTCATCTCCCATTCTCCTTGTTACCTAAGTAGGACATTTGGAGTCACTGAAGCTCCTCTCTTCCTGTCTTCAGGCATCTGGTGGGTCACCAGTCCTTACACTCTTCAGTGTAAAATCTCTTTCTTCATCAGTTCTTTCAAGTCCATCCCACAGATTCCACAACAGTGCAGGCTTTTGTCATTTTAGGCTTGAGTCTTCCATCATCAGCAGTCTCCTTGTCTAAGATCTGTTTCCCACCCCATGTTACGTCCAGGGCTGTTTCTGTGCACAGATATAGTTCCATCTTGCCTGCTTCCTCCTCCTCTCTGACTCCTTAGCATGGTAATGGGTGGTTTCTTTTACATTACTGGATTATACACTGTAAACAAAGAGGTAAGGACCCTAAAAGTGTTTTACTACTTCCCTAACACATCACCATCAATTTAAATAAGAAGAATTATATTATTTTATAGTTTTGCAGGTTGGAAGTTCAACATAGGCTAAAATTAAGGCATTGGCAGGGCCACTTCCTTTAGAGAATCACCCAGGCCTCTTCCAGATTCTACAGGATGACTTTGATGCATGGCTTGGGGCCCCTTCCTTCCCCTACAAAGCCAGGGATGTTGCATCTCAGTTCTTTTTTTTTTGTCTTTTTCATTTTTACCGGTACCAGGGATCAAACTCACGACTGCCTGCTTTTAAGGCAGGCGCTTATGCCGCTGAGCTAAATCCCCAGCCCCGCATCTCAGTTCTATAGTCCCATCTTGCTCTGCCTGCTGGGGCTAGGTTTGGTCCGAGGTCTGAAGCACATCATTAAGAACACAACTAAAGCCTCAGTCTCTATTTGTGAGCATTCTCCTGAGATGGGTTTGTCTGCTTCTCAGTGTTCATGAGCTGTGGACCAGCCCTGTGTGAGATCAGGACAAGGATGTGAGCCCAGAAATCAATCAACATATCTTATTGCTCACTCTAAGTTCTGGCCTACATTCACAGCCCAGTTCCTCAGCGCTGGAGACAGCAAACCACAGGGCCAGCTGCTCTGCAGGAACAGGCCCCCAATCTGGTGTGAGTCACAAAGCCAACCCAGGTGGAGCACACATTGTGCAGACAGGCCCCTCACCCATACAGCTAGGCTGCAGCAGCTGCAGGCTCAGGAAAGAACTGGGGCCACCCTTGATGCCTGGGCCCATGAGAACCTTGGCCCATCTGGCAGGCTCCCCTGAGAAGGGAGCCAGGGAAGGTGGAGCCAGACCCCAGTGAACTTTCAAAAGATTAACAAACATGCAGGAACACACAGGCTCAGCAATCTGTAATAGCTCCAGTTACAGAAAAGCCTAGAGCGCTGGGAAAGTCAGAACCACAACTAGGTGTGTCTCATTGCAGAGTTCCTGCCTTTCGATCTCCGTTCATAGGAAACAATCAGAAAAGCACTCACAGCCCACTCACAAATTCCATTGACCTTTTGAGATGACTAATACATATTTGGGAGTTGCATATTGTTTCTGTGTGTCAGCCTGTGCTGAAAAGGGTGCTGTTTGGGGTGAAGGGAAGGCTCTTCAGGCACATTGTAGGTCAGGCTTTGTTGTCCTCCAGGAAAAAATCTGAGTTTCAGGAAAAATAAGAGGTTTACTGAACGTTGATTTCCTGTTGATAAGACACAGGCCTTGAGCCAATAAATTTGAGACAGCGCAGGGATGGATCTAGAGATCATATCCTTTAAAGGGTAACACTCTACCGAGAGGCATTTTCTTTCAGACCTGCAGCCACGTTTTCCACTGGACTTCTCTGATGACTCTAGAGCCCAGGCTTTCGTGAACCCTTCCCCTGCACAAATAAAACAACTTAAAACAGCAAAACTCTCAGTACAAAAATGTCTATAAAAAGTAATTTTAACAACAGTGGAATGAAAACTCTAGGCCTGCTGCTATCTTGGCTGTCTCAGCGCAAGGATGAGCTTGTGGGAGGGTTCCATAGCTAAGCTGCAGACAAGTGGTGCCCCGAAACTATCACCATCCCTGTGAGAGCTGAGTCATATGTCAAGGTCAGGACTTCCTTAATTAACAAGTGTAGAGCTGGGCACCTAATGGGCCTGATTGTTTGTGTTGTGCCTAGAAATCAGAACCAGTATGCAAATTGGGACGAGTCCTCAGTGGGACAGAGCCATCGTTATGGAGCTGAATATGGGTGGTCATCAAGCAGTCCCACATTTCCCACTGATCTTCCTTCCCACCTTAGAGGTGGCAAATGAGGGGCAGCAGGGAAGAAGTATGGATGGGAAAGGCTTGGAGGCATTTGTACACCGATGCCCTCACTCGCCCTAGCCATACCATTAATCTTGGAACTAGGGTGTGGGCCCTTGCTTACCTGCAGGGCCCCTCAGAACTCCCAAACAGAGCTTTCTTTTCTAAGGTTCCCATACTCACCTTCCTTCTCTGCCTCCTAGCTCATGACTGGTAGCTGATGGAACCTGGCAGTGATTAGGTGGACTGGCTGTGTAGATCTGAGGGTTTTCAGGAAGTAAGGCTGCAATGCCAGACCTAGGCATCCTGGGCAGTAGGGGTGGTGTGGCTCTTCTGTGCAGTGCCTAGTCCCATTCCCTCATTTTATTTTACTTTATTTTATTTTTTAATTTTACTTTGAAGGCAGTAAAATACAACAGAACAAGACAGAACAAAGCCAATCAATACAATGCAGTGAAATTGCTACAGAACTTCACAGCAGGATACTGGGATAACAATAATAGGTACCGTAGTATATCTTATTATCCTCACAATAGTTGTCCATTCATTCAGGTATAGCAAAATCAAACCAAAAACAGAACATTATAAAACCTATCAAAACAGAATATTGAATAGAGCAAAACAATCAGAACAAAGCAAAACAGTAAAAACAACATTTGCTTTTAAACAGAAGATAGAAGGAAATCTCCCACATTTGCTATATTGCATACAGTCATCCTCCCAAGAGATGCTCAGAACTCTGCCCCTAGTTGCTAAGGGATGGATGGATGGGATGTTTGATTCTTAGCCTGAGCACTGGTGAGCTCCTGGGAGATGCTGACTGGTTCTCTTTCTGGCTCACACCAGTGGCGCTTACCAGGAAGGCAGGTGAATTGCTTGGTTGCTTGGCTGCCTAAGTTCCCATTGAGTTGAGTTACACACTTGTGCTGGCATTACCTTGTGTGAGGTGGCATGCTGCTCCCAAGCCCTCAACCAGCTTGTGCCCAGTGACTCTGCCCTTAGGGAATGACTTTCCTGATAGCAGTGGAGATGTAGTTGTGGTCTTTGGTCCCCGTTTTCTTGCAGGCTTAATCCCTAGGTCTACCCATCTCCCATGAAGTCAGGCCCTTTCTACTTCATAGTGGTTTTTGTGACCCCAGCAGTCCCTTCGATATACTTAGTCAAATCCCAGAGGATCATCTGGGTAACCTTTCTTTCTTTTCCTTCAACAGTACCAAACTCGACTGTCATCTTGCTCCCCATGTGGCTAATGTCCATTTTCACGTGTTTCCATCATTCAGCCAGGAAGACAAGGGAGCCAGACTTTTGGGTTTGCTCTGACCTGTCTTCTAAAAGGACTTGTTCTTCAGAGGAGCACTGATGTCACAGGACATCCACTTTCTCAACAGACCAAAGTTGGCAAAGCCTATTGTGTCCATCTTGGTGTTTATTTTGCAGCTGTAGCTGTCCACTCAGATCAAACCAGCTAAATGTCTGTGGGAAGCCACAGCAGATCACTTCAAAGCCCAGGGCATCTGAGGATCCATGAGGACATGACCCTGCTGTTGGCACAGGCACACAGCCAGAATACACTTACAGAATCATAACTATTGTAACCCCAAATTTAGAGTATAGAAGCCCAAGTATTGTAATCCATTTGTTAGTTTTCCTCAAAATCTAATAAGTTATATTTATAATTCCACTGAGATGTTATTGGAATCTTGGCAAGTTCATTTTAATCTACCACCTCCGATGCAACCCACAGCAAGAGTAAATGCACCAAAATATATTTAAAGGTTTTTTCTTTTTTAATTTTATTTTGAAAGTAGTAAAATAGAACAAGACAGAATAAAGCCAACTAAGATCGTACAGTGAAATTGGTACAGAACTTCATAGCAGGTTACTAGGATAACAGTAATAGGTATCACAGTATATTTCATTATCTTTACAATAGTTGTTCTTTTAATCACGTATATCAAAATAAAATGAAATACAGAACATTATAGAACTTCTGAAAACAATATTGAATAGAGCAGTACCATTAATCAGAATAGAGCAAAACTAATAAAAATATTTATCTTCAAAGAGATGGTAGAAGGAAATCCCCCTTATTTGCTATGGTCAACCTCCTAGGAGATGCTCAGATTTCTGGTTCCCATTTGCTAATGGGGGGACAGGAAAAGGGGGGTAGTGGGATGTTTGACTCTAGGCCATGCACCAGTAGGTTCACTATTGCTTAGCAGGGAGGCAGGCTGGTTGCTTGGTTTTCCAGCTTTGTAAGTTCCAACATGGTGTGGATCTCAGAAGACAAGGGTGGTTCCACCCTGGAGAGGCCACAGTCTGCCACACTGCAGCCACTTACCAGGAGGGGAGCTGCTTGCTTGGCTTCCCAGGGTCCTAAGTTCCAACATGGCATGGATCTCAGGAGACTCTGGTGGTTCTCCCCCTGCAAGGGCCACAGTCTGCCACACCACAGCCACTTACCAAGGAGGGGCTATATTTAAAGTTAAGGGCAACCAAGGAGGCCTAAATCCAATCCCCGTGAGGATGTGTGGACAAAGGCCTGATCCAAGCCTCTCCCACAATTTATTATCTTGTGAAGAAGGGAGTGGCTTAAGGATGAGTGACAGTGAGAATGGCCAGAACTACATGAATAACTTGAGCTGCCTATCTAGGTAGCAAAAAACAAAACAAAACAAAACCATCTTTGAAACATGCAGGGATAATGATATGCAGAAGGATCAATTGGCATAATTTAGTTAAGGTAGCAACTGAACTGTTTTTGGAGGCTATTGCTTCAGTTTCTGATATGTAAAATTTATGCCCTGGGGACTCCATAGCCTCTTTATTTCGAGGCTCATACCCAGTTGACATTCCTGGAGCTGACTGGCTCTGCCATCCCACTGTACTCATATCTTTTATAGAGAGTGCTATGCAAGGAAACAGGAGACTATCTGATGGCTTTAGAGGTTACACACCAGCACCTTGGCTAGCCTTATTTGCAATGCTTAGAGCAAATTGAAGAGAGAAAGAAATGCCATAGTCAGCTCTGTATGTCACATATTAGGAAATAAGTGTTGAAATAAAGTCACAGCAATTGTTTTGCACTCAAGGGAAGTCACTCAAATTGTCTCCCATACATGATGGCGTGCATACATGTGCAACATGGTGACAACAGTACACAAGAATGTAAGCTTCATAACAGCCATTACATACCAGCTAAACAATAAAGATGCAGCTCCTGCTGCTGTTGGCTCTGCATGTCTTCTTTTCTTTGGGGACCTCACCTGCACAAATACCCCGTCAGCCCTCCCTGACAATGTCTCTTCTCCTGTAACTTGCTGGACTGTAGCACAATTCTGGGAGCTGGCTGGTCTGTCAGAACTTTGATGAGGTGGGGCACATTGGTTTATGACAGGGGATGGAGCAGCATGTATGAAAAGCTGGTGCTCTAAGAGTTCAAGGCCCTATGGGCTCCACATGCTGTTGAATAGATGCAAATTTCCATGTTTCTATCTTTTGGCCATAATAGTTTTGGAAGGGTTTTTATTCTTGTGTGTGTGTGTGTTTGCTGGGGATTGAGCTCACAACCTTGCTCTTGCCAGGGAAGTGCTTATACTGCAGAGCTAAATCCCCAGCCCTATCCTTTGTTTTTGAAATTATTTGACTATAACTGTTTTTTGATTTCTCAGCTATCAACCTATATCTATAGAAATTTTGTAAAGTGAAAAAAATCCATTTATTCTAACCTATTTTGTAAGTTGCTCGCAATGCAATAATATTTTTATAAATTTTAGACTGATGCTGTCACTGTTGTTTTATATTTCACTTAATAGACATTCTTCCATTTCAATTTTGTAGCTGTCTTTTCTTGCTGAACTGACAATAACTCTTTTTCTTCAGGTCAGGTATATTTATGTAGGTCTCTGAAAACTTCCCAGCCCTGGATTCTGCCCCTATAGTAGAACCAGAGGACGGACTGTCTCTGGTTGAGTATTGTAACGAGAAAGCCAATTGGAATTTCAGTGGAAACCATTGTGGAGGCCAATATCATCCTAAATGGAAGGTGGAACAAGAAGGGGAGTTCTACTCTCTTGAAGGCAGGTGGTATTGGGTCCTGACCTAGATCCCCAATCTCCCAAATGAGTGTATGACAAAGGCTTAAATAAGACAAGTGGTGTGATTTTAGGGCTCTAGGAGAATCACACCCTTTAGCTGAGTTTGAGACTCTGAGGGCAAAGACAAAGACTTCTCTGTACTGCCCATATTTATTAGGTCCAAACAAAGAGTGGGGAAACTGAGGAAAGTACAGGAAATGAGCAAGACTTTGGGAATCACTTCAAAAATGTCTCCAAGTAGTAAATTATGCCAATTTAGGAGAACCATCTTATCTCCATGATGACATTTATGGTAGGAGTGAGACTACAGGAATGAGATGCCTGCAGCTGCAGTCTCTATGTATTAAATTGATGTTTGAGCCAGGTGTCCTCAGCTGTGGCCTTATCTTGCCCTTTGAAGTATCTCTGTCCTCACAGGCCACTATAGGCCTCAGCTAGGACCAGTGAGTGACTCATAGAGGTTCACTTACTGTAAATCAGCTCCCATCACCAGGCAAAGGGCCTAGACCTAGGACAGACTCACAGATAAACATAGAAAGCCAATTAGTTAATTTTAAATCCTGCTCAGAGCCACATTATAGTGGTATCCAACATCTCTTTTTTTTTTTTTTTTTTTTTGGTACTGGAGATCCAACTTAGAACCTTGCGCTTGCCAAGCAGGCACTTAGGCCTCTGAACTAAATCCCTGGCTCTTTCCTTTTGTTTTTGTAACAAAAGCTGGACCAGGATAAGTCATGGTTGAATGTTGTCTAGGAGTCAACCCGTCTTGACTCCTCTTCAACAGACTGTGAACAGAATAAGTAGAAATTCACAGATTACTTCAAGTATACCAACATAAAGCCACAAGTATGCCTTCAGATAGTTGAATGGATTTAATTAATCTAAGGCATCAGAAAATTTGCCCCAACCTTGAATTTGTTCATCACATTTTTGAGTTTGTTGGAACACTGACAACACCTCCTTCTGGAGAGCATTGATATCCATAGTAACATTTTGATGGATAGCTCCTTGCAAATGTTTCTTTATATCCTCCCAAGGATGCATAGATTTGTTATAAGGCAAAGGAGTTATGCAGAAATAAGTGGCCTTGTCTGGCACTTAATTTAGGACTAGTCATGTCCAGTTCATGATAAATCTCAGGTGGAGAATCTGCCCAAGTAATGGGTCTCAGTAATTGATTAGGGACATAAATCCACTACTCTACTCCTACATACAGATAGTGCCAGCAGATCCATTAAGGCAACCAAAAGAGTTCTGGGAGTTGTTGGAA